CTAAAGATAATGCTTCACAGTTATGGCACTGTTGTGTTAGGCTTGAACCTAGAGGGCTTTTTTCCCCCTTAAACAAACTATTAAGATGGGTGCCAAAGATTTCTGGCTTTACGCTCATACAAAGCAAGCATTTTCCTCTGGAAGTCACCATGATTTTCAGCTATTTTTCTCCTTACCTCACTGACATAACCAGGAAAACAAATTCATTACTATAAACAGTACAATAACACTGTCAAAGGCTGACTGGACCCGTGAGCCCAACTTAGTTTAAACTTAGATCACTCCTTTCATTTCACCCCCCTCAAGGTCCCAAGTATTTAAACACCACTTTAAATAGATTATAGGCTTGCTTTCTGTTTAACTGTACAGGATTTCTCATAGTTGAAGAAAGTGACCCATCATCTAGAAAATGAGTTAGTTCTGTCAATCTACGACTTCCTAACAACTTAATCAAGTTCTTTGCATTTAAGGTTTTGAATTTAGAAGATATACTGCAGATGACTTCATTTATAAAGACCACACACATCTTTTTAAAATCCCCACCAAGGACATGCTTACTAATTTTAGAGACAGGGGAGGAAGGGAGAGAGAGAAAAACGTTGTTGGGAGGCAGAGACATCAACTGATTGCCTCTTACACGAGCCCCAACCGGGGACCAAATGTGCCACCTAGGCATGTGCCCTAACTGGGAATCAAACTTGAGACCTTTTGCCTTATGGATGATGATCCAACCAACTTAGCCACACTGGCCAGGGCAAGGCCATTTTAATGTTGTTGATTTAGCAGCTAAAGATAATGGGTTTATATATGTTCTTGAACAACTGCTTTATATAGAGAATCATTATTGATCATTCCTTGGATTGCTTGAAGGCTTCTTTTTAGTTAACAAAGAAATTATTTTCTCCATTCTAAATCAAAAAAATATTGACAATTAATTTCCTTAAGGACTAGAAAGTTTGGGTCAGAATAAACTAATATGGATAAAAATACTGAGTATTCAGTTTATATATCTCCTAGTTTTTCTCTGATGCCACTCCTTTCATTTCTTTACTCAACGTAGTGGTTCTTAACCTATGGTCCCTGCATCACAAGCATCGGCAAGACCTGGGAACTGGTTAGAAATGCAAAGTCTCTGGCCCCATCCCATGCCTACAGTATCAGGAACTCTGGGTTTGGGGCCAGAGAATTTGTATTGACAATTCTTCCAAGGGAGTTCAACGCACCTAAGGTTTGAAAAGCACTGCTCTTAACATATGATGTAAATGAATTTTAGACTTAAAATTCACATTTTTGCACCTTAAGCAAACTAAAAGTTCTCAGCTAATCCACATAAATGATATGAGTCTATACCAAATCAAAGCACACATTTTCCTATTCTGAAGTTTATACTTTCAATTTCCTCTAGTTGTACTATATTCCTATAATGTCAATAGAAATGACATGGAAACTAACTTCTGGTAAAGAATTATGACACGTCTAGAAAAAAGAGCTTTACCCATAAAACTTTTGCATCAGAAAAATAAAATCTTACAAATTATTTTAACAGGCATAGTAAAAGTAAACCAAAGGACTATGATAGATGACAAACTACAGAAACAAGGCCAGATAATCTTCTTGTATTCAGCAAATCCACTATCCAAAAGGAGAACTAAAAGAGCTTCATTCAGTTAATCCACAAAAACATCCATCTATGTCCAATTCAAATTTGGGCCTACCCCCATTTTTCCATAAACAACCAAAGCATATACTTATACAATGGCTTCTTTATAGCTAAAAAAACTAAGATTCTTTTCCTCTTTCTTTGGCTTTAAAAAATTACATCAGTGTAAAAATGAATAGACTTGTATTTTTCTTCCTCAGGATTTTTTTCATACAATGTACCCTTTCAGTATTCCATTTTTTCAGAGGTAGAGACAATCTGAAGCACAAAAAAACCCAACCCTAGAACATGTCTTCAATTAGAAAACAGTTTTAAGTTCCAGGATCTAATTTTCTGTGATCTTGGAGAAGAATTTAAACTGTAAAATGGGAATAATACCTACCCCACGATAATTGGAAAGTATGCGGATGTATACAGAAGGTATTTGTAAGTTATAGAAGGCATTTTTAAGGAGCTAAACAAAACAAAAACGTACTTGACTTCACATTATTGACAGCAGAGTTGAAATGAAACAAATAAATCGGGCCTGATAATCTAGCCAGTGGTGCCCTAACAGACCTGGAAGGTACCACTGAAAACATTAGCTGGAAGACTCGCTAAAACCAGACTGTGAACACACGCAGGATGTTCACAGTTATCAATAACAATTGTTGTTATCAATAACAATCCTGTGTCCACTGCACCTCCTCTAGAGCACCCTTCATTTCAAGGGGATATTTTGTTTATGTCACTAAGGTGTAAAGAAAGGCAGAAAGATATCATGAAAGCCCACAAAACCTGAACACGAGGGATACAAATGCTACCACACTAACAACGGAGAGCTCGCTGAGTGCCACTCACTGCTCTCTAAGCTGCGGAGACGGGCATGAGCAAAGATCACACACTCAGCCTCAAGCAGCCTGGGGTGGCAGTTAGGAAAACAGAATCCCCAAGTTAACAGTCTGCTAGGAATACTGGTCAGAGCTACACCCCAAAAAGCAGCATAAGGGTATAAAGTGCCAGGTGACAGAGAGGGGGGGGAGTGGAGCAGGGCAAGGCCTCACTGATAAGGTGACGCATGAGGTGACCTGAAGAAAGTGAGGGGAGCCATCTGAGAAGAGTGGGAGAATAACCCAGGGCTCGGAGGCAGAACTGAGGAAGCAGTGAGCAAGGGAGAGGGTAGTAAGAGAGTGAGAGAGAGGGAGGGACTGGGGGTAGGGGCGGTTAAGACCTCGGGACCAGATTTTACTCTGAGATGAGATGCCCTTAGAGGGTTTGTGTCAAATGAGGGACATATAACTGTTTTCCCCCCAAAACTTTTAAGTTATGGAATCTTTTGTTCGAGGGATAAATATGTAAAACAGATAAAACAGGAGCTCCTCTGGGTAAGAAAAAAGTGCCCAGAGACTTGACTTCTGCTGTTCCCATTCTCCCTCTCCCTCATCTGAAGTTTACAAGTGAGTACAGTCCGCAGCATCCAAAACAGCAAATGAAGCTGCTGGTGCACATCAGAGGAACAAAGTGCTGCCGCACCTCTTTAGGAACCCAGTACTCGGGCAAGGTGCGAAGTCCCTCTCCTCCCCCCCGCCCCTCCCAGCTCTCCAGGTACATACTGCACATGTACAGTTTGTGTTCCCTGGCAAGGCTTCCTGGATATTCAATTCATCTTGATTTCACTTGATTAAAAATGTTCTAGCCATACAATGTGATCTCTGCATGTGGTCAATTTATCTTCGAGGAAAATTCCTCCTCTACTAGTGCTATTTCGTCTCTCAGCAATGACCTCCCAGCCGGCTCTATTCTAATCCTACGCATCCCTCAAAGTCCACTTTGTAAAGCCATCCTCCCCACCTGAGCCTCAGCTAGAGCTCCAGATCTCCACAGTGTGGAGTAGTGCTCTAGTTCACTGCTCGTTCCGTGGACCGACCCCCTGTAGATTTGGCTGGTAGTCTTCTAACCTTTGTGACTGCTTTAAGTGACAAGCCCACAAAGCAGTCAATGCTCTTTCAGACATACTGTAGGAGGGACCCCCCCCTCAAAAAAACCCAGAATTTTAAAAATAAAAAACTGTATTTATTCTTACATGTTGAAACTTCAGTCACCTTCAAAGTACTTCCCAACTGATGCAATCAATATACTATCGAGACAACAGTTTTTGAACTCGTCAATTTTGATGCCTTTTAGAGCTTCTACCGTTTTTTAGTTTCGCCTCTTCCACATCGGCAAAATGTTTCCCTTTGAGGACTTTTTTCATCCAGGGAAACAAACAAAAGTTGCTCGGGGTGAGATCGGGTGAATAGAGACAGTGGGGCACAGGGTTCATGCTGCTTTTGGTCAAAAACTGCTGAACACTTAGCACGGTGTGGGCAGGTGTGCTTATAAATCACTCATCATGAAATAGGCAAATGCTCTGAGTCTTCAAAATAAATTCCCTGAAGCTGAACGCAGCCTCTCACAACAATGCCAGCTGGTACACTGATACAGATGGGTTCCTAGAACACTCACTTAGCAGGGGAAGCCTGTATTACAAGGGACCCGCCCTCCAGAAGATAATTCCATTTTTTGGTGTGTGTGTGGGGGTCCCTCCCTCTTATAATAACTGTGAGAAAATTCTTCTCACTGATCCAGAACCTGTTTCCTGGTATCTTCCACCACAGGATCTGCCCCCTGGTTGAAAGGGTAGAGGAAATCTGGTTCCCCAGCCCTCACGCACCCTGTATAGCTTATAGTTGGCCTCGTGTTCTTCCTGATTCTGGCTCTATCTCTAAAAATTCTACCAACTGCCCAACCATCTCACAGGCCCTCTGTGGAAACCAAATTCAACCTGGAATGATCAGCTAGCAGTCGCAGGCAGATCTGATGTCTCCATGTGTAGCCAATGAGTCTCTGTATCCCACGCCACTGATTACAACCCATTCTTGATTCTCTTCTTTGAACTTGCTTAGGATTTCTACACGTAATCTTGCATTTATCATTGTGCATTCTGTCAATGAATGTTTACTGGGCACTGTCAGGAATTATGCTAGATGCTGAAAAAATAAGAGTAAAGGAAACGTACTCAACCTATAGAAGAGTAAGAGCAAGATAGGTAAAATAATAAACAGCTGAGGAAGTTGGAGAGGCTTCAATGGAGGCTGTGACGTCTGAACCAAAGATGAATTGAACACCACCCATGTCTCACACAGCCTTGTGACCCCGGCACCACATGGTACGATGTTTGCCCTCAGTTGGAAGTTCAGAAAATATGTGAATTGGTAAAGTTGAGAAAGTACTTCACCTCCTCAGCCTCCTTTGGAGGTGAGGGAGCGTGATCACCGAATCCACAGTCTGGCAAAGGTAGTTACAAAGGCTGACACTGTACCTGGCTACGTACAGTACTGCTCAAGTGGTTGTCCTCGGACATCTGTGCATTCTGGAAGTAGGACAAGGGTGCAGGTAACTCTGTCATTGGAGCAACTGTACAGAAATACCTTTTCACAGAAAACAAAGCTTATTGGGGTCCTGAAAAGGAAAAAAAAACAATCCTTTGTGCATTCCAATTATACTTTTATTTTTAAACACTTTCAGAAATTACGTTCAGCAGAAACAAACCTTTCTTTCATGTGTTCTCCTCCAGGCCACTATTTCTAAGGACCTCACGGGCTGCTGTCACCTGCAGACTCCTTCCCGGATTAGGTCTGAAACAGGGTTTTACAATGTCACTCAGAGTTGATCAAACCCTAGTGAATTCATGCACACCAATCAAATACTTGTAAGATCAATCTGTAAAACACAAATTTATTATTTTATCATGACCTTTAACAGACATCAGTTCAAGACACCTCTTTGGTAATGAGTAGACCTATTTGAGAAACCAAATATTTTCAATCAGAAAGATACTTAATGATTTCAGATTCAGAGCAAGGGGAACTGAATAATCTTAAAGAATGTTTTTATTAACATCTCCTTTTCTATGCTGACCATCCAACCTAACTTTTAATATCTCCATTCAACTATCTGCTTAGTGCTTTTAATTCTGTCAAGTCTTTTTATTATCTCATTTTATCCTTACTGCAATGCTCCAAGGCAGGGTGAACAGGTAACATACATACTGTTAAAAAAGAGAAGGAAACCCAAGTTCAGTGACATGGTTAAGAATCACACAACTGGTCAGACCAGGACAAAAATCGAAGGCCCCTGACTCCCAGCTGCAGGTCCCCCTTTGCATCCCAGCACGGCCTTATTTCCATGTCTCGCTCTGCTTCCCAGAGCTCACCTTCCTGGGGGCCACATTCCTACTTGCCTGTTTACCTTAATCTCCATCAGCCAACTCTTTATGACTTCAACTTTATTTTTCATAGTCTTTAGAAATATAAAAGGGAAAAAATTTTTTGCACACCTAAGCAGTATTCTAATTCATATATAGTATCCAAAACACTACCATGTACTTATTTATATGAAAACATTTTGTCAACATCCTGTTTCATTTTCCCTTTTCAGGATCTTCTACCCTCTAACTTCTCTACTTTATTACAACTTTTCATAAAAAAGCACATTAAAGTAACTTTTTCCTCTAGTACAAATTTTGAGTTCAAATTAACCCTTAGTGACCTGTATTTGGCTCACTCAAATCATGACAAAATTTTAACAAATGTATGCTCTTGCTGACATCTTACACGCTTTCATCTATACCATGCCTACCTTTTTCCTCCCCTCTGATTTTGGACCATAGTTAGCTGGCATGGGGTCAGGGGATTGCAAATTAAGATGAACTAAATAAGACATAATTAACTGTAAATTTAAAAAAATAAAGTAAAACAGAATGAGACAACAGTTACTTTTATGAGGGTTATTCACCAGAAAGGGGTACATGGGAAACTTTGGAGAGGACTGGTAATGTTTCATTTCTTGATCTCAGTACCAGTTACACAGGGTTTCAGTCTGTGTAAATGCACTGAGCTGTGTATACCCATGATCTGTGAGCACATTTCTATACACTTCAATTAAGATTTTAAATAGATTTTTGTGGGAGTAAGCCTATATTTAGGGTTACTCATACTGTGATCCTGTCTTTTAAAATGGATAAAATTAAGACTTGGCACTATGTATGCTAGTTTACCCCAAAGAGAGGTGTGGATTCCAAGAGAACAGTTTTATTTTCTAAGTATTCAAAGTAAATGTTCTGATAAAAGTTGACTAATTAAAATTTTAACATTAAGGTAGCATGAACAATTGGCAAACAGCGTACATCATTCCCTTCTTTCCACAAACATTTAGCATGGCACCCACCACCTCAGCTAACCTAGAAATACCACAGAATGCATTTTGATTACCTCCACTGACTTCTCTGAAGACTACACTGCATCATTTAAAGAACGGCTCTATTACAAAAAAAAAACAACCTTAGAAATCTGTCATTAATATTCTGACATGCTCCTTCAGAAACAAAACAAGTAAATAAGATAGTGTTAACCAAATGAAAGAAGCAAGGGAAAGAGAGAATAATGCAGGCAAAAAGAAATAAAGTGCATTTCATCTATAGATAAAAATAAGAGGAAAAGTGATTATCCATTCACTACATAGCAGTTCATTGGCTAGCTACTTATATCAAAACTCAGAGACACTGACTGAGAAGATTTACTTAATTATGTTCACTTTACCCATTCTACAATAACGTGGCACAAAGAAGTGTACTAACTTGCCCAAAATCATATCCAGTGAGCAAGGCTCACATGTTACACTAGGTTGCCTCTACGTAAAACTCTCCCCTCACCCTTTTAAGAGTTTACAACCATGGACATTAAGACATAGTGAGTATTTATAGTAAAACTAGCACTTAGAAGTAAATGAGATCTTATGCTTCAGTAACTGGTGTAACTATAAATAAAAAACTGAAGTGCCAAAGTACTCCTAATATACAGTCCTAGTATTTACTGAAAGAAAAACAATAAGATAAGCTATAATAAGAATATGGTCATTTTAATATTAAGTAGTTTCCATATTAGCCTTATGCTATAGGAGCTGTTCAGCTATCAGAACAAACCATACAAATTGATCATCATACAAGAGTTTCCTCAGACAATCTTGCAAGATTAAACAATACAGGAGTCACTTTAGCACATCCCAATACTATTTCAAAGGCACATCCACCTCACTTATATGTGAAAAACTAAGGCTCAGGAAAGGTGAAAGAATTTGCCAGTGTACAATTATGGAGCAAGTAACACCAGTTCCAGAACCAGGTCTTCTATGCCCAGTCCAGGTCTTTTCCAGTTCAGCCAGAGAAAGTTCAGGCTTCCACTGAGGCTTTGAAGACCAAAACGCTACAGGGCAACGCTCCCTGGAGGAGCTGCTCTTTACATGGAGCCCAGCAGGAAGAGGAGGCAGGCAACAGGGCTAAACTGGATCTTCAGTCAGGCCTGGTGAACAAACACACATTGTCCGGACGAAGAAAGGAGCAGGCCGTGCCAGATTTGACTCTGGTCCAGTAACAGCTGAAAACAATTGATGACTCCTTGGAGAAGGCCAATGACCCTACTGTTCAGGCAAAAGACACTACTGGTCTCTATAACATTCTTAGCAGTGCCCTGAGAACAAAAAAGGGTAATTGTTGGAGAATGAGAACCTTTCATGGGACCTGGATTGCTGAAGGAGTGGGAAGTGGGATAAGAGTAGATCTCGGTGTTTTCTCTCTCTGGCCACCACGTAAAGATTTTCTGAGACTGACAAAGCATACTTGGATTCCCTGTCATCCATTATCCTTTCCCTCAAGACACTTGCTCAATCAGATAAAGGAAAGAGAAATCCTTTTCTGATGGGCAACTACAATTTCTAGTGTACACAAAGAAACTAAAAATGAGAGAATACAAATAATCCTGAAGCGCAGACATACCGAATAGAAAGAAAAGCCTAACCACAGAACCTCCTGTCAGCACTTAAAAAAAGTATCACAGGAGCAACGTTTAAAGTCACAAAATAAATGTATTAAAAATCCCATTTAAGGAAGCACCAACAGACAAGTACATTTCTGCCCTGGCCAGGTGAGCAGCTGGTTAGAGCATTGTCCCGATACCCCAAGGTTTTGGGTTTGAACACAGTCATGACACATACAAGAATCAAGCAATGAATGCAAAAATAAGTGAAACAACAAATCAATGTTTCTCTCCCTCTTTCCCTCCTGTCCTTCTTCTCTCTCTAAAGTAAATCAATAAATACGAACTTTAAAAATAAGTACATTTCTGTCTTTTACTACATCCCAGGTAACAACTAAACTTCATGCCATTATAGCATGTTTACTTAATTATTGATACCATTTTTTCTTCACTCTAAGACATACGTGTAAACATAATTTGTACTTCACAGAAACATTTTCAGAGACTTTTAATCATGATCTTCTGAAGAGCAAAGGGCTTGTGGCTTGTTTCAATGACTCTAGCCACTGGACTAGTTTCTCCTTCACTTAGAAAACCACCAAAAATAGTTTGTGAAAGCATCTTTGTACCATAATGCTAAGAAGTTTTCAAGTGTCAAATGAGCTTGTAATTTATTCTTATCCCACAAAAGTATTTAGTTACTCTGATGGCTTCTTTCTGGACAGCCAGCATGCGTTCAGATTATATGGATGGGCTGGGAGAGCCTGTTTGTTTCTAAAAGCTCATCCAACAAGAAATGTAACCAATCTCCAAAATTCTTAACAATAATTTAAAACTAATTTAAAATTATAGGAATATATCCTGGAAATATTCCTCTGAATTTTAAGAAACCAGGAGCAAATAATTGCCCGGGCCCTACAAGAGACTCCGTAAAAGGGGTAGACTCTAAAAAGAGCAAGGATAGTAATATAGCTTATTTGTTGATTTTTCCCCCTCCTTCCATCCCACTCTACTTCTGTGAACCATCTGTGGTAGATGAGACTGTTATTCAGCACATATTCACTCCCTCCCCCCACATCCCCAAGAGAGAAACATACTTCCCCTCTCCGGCCATATTGGCTTGGCTCTGTGAGCTGCTTTGGCTTCAAGGTGGGTGCAGTGTACTACCCACTCTATGCCTTGGGCACAATCCTATGACTTGCTTGGGTCAATGAGATCTTAGCAGATTGTGGCACAAGCCACAGTCCCTTCAGCCCTGGCCCCAGAATAAGACATGAAAAGCCAAACTGCCCTAGCTCATCCACAGACCCACACCTTGAGGCAGTGCCTTGCCTGCTCCGAGGCACTGAGTTTCCAGGAAGTCTGTTATATAGTTATCCAGTTGTTTTTAAATAATAATGGTCATGTGGACTCAGACAATGATGAAAATTAACCAAGATGGACAAATCCAGAATCCTTTATGTGAAACCCTTAGGACTAAATGGGTGTAAAATTAATCCCCCCCCCCTGGATTTTATAAAAGTAATAATGCAAATACAGTATGTTTTATATGCTTCCTCTGGGTCTTAGAACACAAAATCAAACACATTAATAAATATGTAGTGAAACATGTAAGCAGTCTTAATTTACATAGGTTCAGGTTAAATTTTTGCTGTGAAATGAATTATGAAAAGCCTTTCAGTTTTTCCAGGAGCTTTTGGATTTCAGAATTATGGATATGAAACTATATGATCAATATTTACATAACTATAAAGAATCTCCCACCCCCCCCAAAAACATTTAATTTCAATAATTCTATATGAAAAATATGATTACCCTGAGTCATTGTCTCATATTCACTGTGGCAATGGTGACAATACGTCTTTTCTTTAATGGAAAGAAAAGACTACTCACAGCTAATTCATTTGTCAACTGTTCGTTATATATCCAGCAATGCTTGCATTCTCTCTTAAGAAACTGTACTAGGCACTGTGAAAACCAAACATTATACCCTTTAATCAACATTTACTGGGTTTCTTCTACATAACCAGACACTGCAATAGGTACTGGAGACGCTACTGAATCAGCTAATGCTTCTACTTAGTTAAAGAGCTTACTATCTAGAGAGGAAGACAGATAAGTACCTTTTTATGTTAATTACATGTTGAAATAAAAATACTTGAGATGTCCTGAATTATATAAAATGTTATTCAAATTAATTTTACCTATTTCTTTCTACCTTTAAAAATGTGTTTATTAGAAAATTTAAAATTAACATTTGTAGCTCACATTATGTTTTTACTGGACAGTGATGCTCTAAATTTTTTCAGTTCTTTCTGCTACACCAGGTCTAATATTAAGAATCCATGACAACCTTTTCCTTACTGACCTTCCCCCCTCCCTTCCTCAGCGGTTGTGACGCTGCACTATAGATGGTTTCCTCCTGGCACTTCGCTCTCCTCAGCTGTCTGGGTTCTCATTCTTCCCCCACCCCCTCCATATGTGGTTGGCCTGGGTCTCCTGTGCCCTTCCTTTCCTCAGATGTCTCCTCCGCTGCTTCAGTATCAACTGGCCAGTCTACTTAAGTGACTCTCATGTTTACAGCTCCGCCTGTCCAAAGGACATCTTTACCTGTTGGCACTTTGTAGTATTTCCAAAACACTTCCTTGTCGTCTTCTCTAGAGTAAGTTCTTTGCTCAAATTTCCTTATTTTTACCAATGCCTCCCCCATTCTCCAAACTTAAAGTTTCCTGGTCAACTTTACATTTTATTCCCCACTCCTGAACTGGCTGCCATGCCCAGTTCATGTTTTTCCTCTTCCTAAGCCTATGCCACCATCGAAGATCAAACTCTCATTATATGTTGTCTGATTATTCAAAGTCATCTCAAGTCTCTTATTCGTTCTAGCCCCAACTACCACATTAAGGTGCCCAACACAAAGCTCTGGCCGCATCAGTGCCACACTCTCAAATCCCCTTCCAAATCTGCCTAGCATCTAGCACAAGAGGGAGGAACAGTATTAGAGGTCTTTGAAAGGTTTTTCAGAATATATCTGAAAGAAGTCTCTTCCTACAATTTGATAAATAGGAGAGAATGAACAAAGGGAATCTGGATTTGAGAGACAAAGAGAACCACATAAGCTATGGCAACTGACAAATGTTGTATCTTCCTTGCTAAGAGAATTCTCAGAGACCAACTCCAATCCTCACGTTCTCCACAAATGGAAATTTATGTAAAAGTCTAGGATTAGCAGCAGCCCTTAACTTAAAATCTGTTCAGAGGAAAGTATATCCAGCAACATGGGAACTGTCTACTCAAGAACCAGCTGTAGAAGAATGAAAAATCACATAAAAGATGCTACTTCTACCATCTGTTAATTGCAGGGAGGGGAGGGAGGAGAAAGAATCCATGCACTCAACAGGCTCCCTTTTTCATTGTTACAACAGTTGTTATTAAACGTGGTGGAGGTGGGGCTTAAGTTGGTTGAACAAGGCAAATGAGTTAAGAACTGAAATGGCTTTTGCAGGTGACTGAAATTAGCCAAATACAACAGGCTCCAATCTACTTTTCTGTTCTATCTTCCTTCATAACAGTCAGTTAATGCTCAGCCTGGATCCCCGGACATGTAAGATCCAGAAGCCCCCAGTTTGTAGTACACTCTCTGATTACACAGTCCTCCCCACTTCAACTCCAAGGGTGAAATCCTTTCCACTACAAAAGATAATTCAAATGACAGGATTCTCTTAAGCAGATGTTATCTCTACCTGCCTCAAACTTCAACGAATGTCATAACCTTTACAGTGTGCTCTACCATAAACGTAGTTATTTGCACATTATTCTTGTATCCCATAGTAAACCTCGAATACTTCACTCATCTTGTTCAAAGCAAGCAAGCAATGCTTTAAAATTTATTATTGTTACTTTCCTATAAAAGAAAAAGAATCTGAGCGAGAAGAAAAAAGCAAATATCTAAGGTACATGCAAAACATCCAACATATACATGCCTGTGACAGCGCCGATCAATGCAAAAGCATCAGACCCTATTTTCCGCCACGAATGTGAGATAGGAGGAACTTAGCCCTGAGTGCCATTCACCTCCCCTGGACAAGGACACACTCAGCATGAAGCGTGGAGTTTCACCAGTTGCTCAACCAGGCTCGGCGGTACGGGCTTCCTCCTTTTCCTGCTGCACTCAAGACGGTTGGTCAATCCCGGCCCAAAGCACCTGCGCCCCGAGACATCTTCGGGAAACCAGCACTTCCGGACCAAGACTCCGAAGGGTACTCTCTACAATTTGACCGCACGCCGCGCCCGGAACCCGAGCAACAAGCAGCCCCTCTAATTCCCCAGAGGGGTTCCTGTGTCCCCGCCCGGCCGCGCCCCGCTCTTCATCCTGAGGACACCGGCTCCGCGGCCCAAGCAGCCACAAAGGGCCGCCTGGGTCCGCGGCCGCCCGTGCCCACACTGGATGAGGGGGGACTGTCCTCTCTCCCCGGACTCCCCCATCACGCACCTACTCCTTCCACGCCGCAGCCGCCCGCTCGCACCGGAGGTTCTTTCGTGAGCAGCGGCTGTTTTATTTCCGATGTGAAATCTCGGGCTCTTGAGCTACCCGGCCCAGGCCCCGCCCCAAAGCCTTCACCGGTGTCGTCACTTCCGGCCTTGGCACGTCGGGGACCCGCCTGCAGGCAGAGTGGAATGAGAGGGCACGGCGGGGCCAAGGAAAGGGGTGGAGCTTCCGGTAGAGCGCACGGATACCGGGGAAACTGCGCTCTTGCTGGTCTCTGACTTGGGAGTGCGCGCACGAGTCTGGAGGTTGTGAGGTGTGGCAAGACAGCTCTTGAGCTGGATCAAAGTTTCTAGTAAACTGGGCCCAGTGTGTGATTGGCATCAAGCTATGGCATCTTAAACTTAACGTCTTTCACTTCTCAGTACAACTTTTGTGTGTTTCTAACGTGAATCAGTCGCACCACAATCTAGAGGATGCTAATTAAAATTGCAAGTACCTGTGTCCTTTATTGGATCAAAACTTCCGGTGGATGGAGAACCTGAGAAACTGCATTTTAAACGTCTAGATTCTTGGGCTCCAATTTAAGAACCATGGTAAATGGTAAACGCAAACAACAGAAAGTATCTTTATTTTTATAATCCTGGAACCTGAGTATCTGGCACACGATTGCTCAACAGTTGGTTACCACTCTGTGTACGAGTCATCACCCAACTAATACGTGATGTGCCAAACTTGGGAGTGTCATTTAATTCAAAGATGGCTTGAGAAGACTTTTTATGATTCATCTTTGCTTACAGAAATTATCTTTCATTCCTGAGCATTTTGGATTGCCATTCTTAATTTGGCCTTCACACAGTAAAATGAAAGGTCATAGATGAAAATACAAGCATTCAAATGCAAGTTAACAAATGTTCCGGTAATTTTACAATAACCCCGTTTTAAAAAACCTACCACTTTATCAAAAATTTTGGCCTACAAGTTCACTTTGGCCTACAAGTATGAATGTAGTAACAGATCCCAACTTTGAAACACGTATATGAATTTCCCAGTATTCTTCACACGCAGACTGCCTATTCCTTATATCCTTCATATATCCAGTAGCATTCACAAATCAATTTCATCTTTTGCTGTGCAAAATCTACTTCTTAATTTCCTACTGTTAGGAGGCTATAATATGACTGGGAAAATCTGAAACCACTTTGACAGAATCTTTCAGCAGTTTTGGATAGAAGTAGAAACATTCACAGAACTCATTAGAAAGAGCTGGGGCCCTGTCTAGTGTGGCTTGGGGGATTGAGTGCCAGCCTCTGAATCAAAAAGCCAACACTTTGATTCCTATCAGGGCTCATGCCTGGGTTTGCAGGCTGGGTCCTCAGTTGGGGGTGTGCAAGAGGCAACCTATTGATGTACCTCTTGCATATTGATGTTTCTCTCCCTCTTTTTCCCTCCCTTCCCCTCTAAAAATAATAAAGAAATATAATCTAAAAAAAGGAAAGAAAAGGCTGGGTAAATAAGCTTCATATACAAATTAGTATACCTGCTTACATTTATTTGCATTAAAAACTTTTTACTCCATATGAAAGGAGAAAAAATACACGTGTTTATTAGTCCATTTGACTCTCAAGCTCAGTTTGCTCACTGTCCACCATTGTCCAGTATTTATGCTTGATGAGTACCTGAAATAGCACTCTCCACAAAGTAATCATCAGCCTCTACTATACATGAAGTTTATCAGAAAGCACTATGACAAGATTCAGAATAACAACATAAAGTTCTTTAGGGAGGAAATGTTCTGGGACTGGCAAGGAATAAAGCCTATAATATTAGAGTTGTTCTCAGATATTTTGGGAAGAGATTACTTTATATTCATTAACATACAGAATAGGTGTATTTATTTGCCTCAAAAATGGTTTCCTCTTTAAATCTACTTAAAAGAAAATTTAGCTGCATTTACATAGTCTGTTAGGATAAAATACTCATAAAATACTAATCAAAGCACAGTCCTTGATCAGTCAGCATTGGTATGTATCATCATCAACCTCAAGCCCCACATTAGTCCAACTAAATCAAAGTCTGCATTTTAACAAGATTCCTCCAGGTAATTCAGGTGCACCTTAAAGTTTGAGGGGGAAAAAGACCTTCACATAACTTATCTTCCTCCTATGAACAGATACACATATTTTTAATTATTGTATTTACAGGGTCAAATGAGAAAAAAGCATATTGGTATTCTAACTGAACTTTCATATAATTTTATAACTTGAATGGGCAATACAGATTAACCAAGGTTTCCAAACTGAAATTAAAACTATGGGCAAATGGTAAAGACAACTCAGAAAAAGCTCAAGCAATTCAGTAGAAATTTTATGTGTATTCTCCCAGACACAATACCCCAGTTTGTCCATGTCCAATTCTTTATATATAAATCTGAAAAACAAGAAACTCTGAAAACCTTCAAGTTTAAGCTTTGATGGCAAAACCTGGCTTCAACTGACATGGTCTGATATACCAACTGACATGATATTTACACAATGGTCTTTAACTCAGTGACCACAATCATTCCTTCTCTGCTACAGAAATGTTAACATATGAACTTGGATTCTGAGGCAAATCTCTCTAGAGGTATTATGTTGTATGTGTATGTGTCCCCAAGAGTTTCAGATATGGGTCCATTAAGATAAATATAATGAAAGAGCAAGGGCAATTAAATCTACTTGAACAAACCTTCATGCCAATGTTGACTACATAAAAATAACCTAATAAGATGCCTTAGAAGTAGTAACATTGTAAGAGAAGATAGGCATAATTAAAGCCTGAACAAGGTGTTTGGCTGAGGGTCAATCTGAAAAAAGGCTAGTAAATAAATGTGTTAAGTGGCAAGAAGCATATTTCTGAAATTTCCCTTGATAAATCAGAATTTAAAATACTGAAATACTACAAGGAGGTATCTCCATAGACATGTAGATCACTCCAAAATAAGGTAAGTACCCTCTTTGACTTTTAGTTACTAATACTCAGAGAAATCAACTCAGCCCATATTTTCAAGTTTCTAGTATGCCACACAATTACAATATGCCATTTATTTAATAAGACTCTGAAAGAATGAGTTCCCGAGATCAAATATATACATTTTAATATTTGAAATATTTACATAATGGAACCATATCATGGTCCAATGTTAAGAACAGTGTTTTCAAATGTCCTCTCAAGATGTAAAAAAAAACTATTAACTCAAGTTCAGTTATGCCTATTTCTATTCCCAATCTTTATTTTTCTTTTAAATAAATACTCAGACATGGGAATAGCTGCACCTACTTTGTGTTGAGAACTGTTTAAAACTTGTTACATTTTCAGGTAGTTCTGCCCCCATGAAGTTCTCAACTACAACAAAGCAAGCCCCATGTGTGTCTCTGACACCATCAACTTATTTTTTAACTTTGATGCGCAGAGGCAAGCAAGGTGTGTGCTTGCATAAAAACAAGCCATAAACCCTTTACAGAACAAAAACGGAAACAAAAATTAGTGGTGACTGCCTTAAATGACTTACTTTATCCTTAAAAAATAAGTTTTGTAAAATGTCATGCTGAAATCCTATTATATTTTGTCAGATTTTCCTAGTCTGTAAAATTGCTTAATTTTACCTTTTGTTTTTAAAGTTTTTTTCATTTATACTTTTTTAATTTTTTTAAAGGGGTACACCCAAATTAAACTAAGGACCAGTCAGTGCAAAATATGCATCAAATGAAACTCTCCAGAATATAAGGATCTGCCTCATTTCTGAACAATGAAATTAGGGGGTGAAGAGAAACTACTGATTCATACTCCCTTAAAAAAAAGGCCTGAAGCAGGCAGCTATCAACAGGAAAACCCCATTCCATTCAGCAGACTGTTTACGGCTGGCCAGAAGAGAATACCATGCTCTGGGAGACTAATAACCTAACTCTCCCAGATGTCTGGATTGGCACAACACCGTGTTTCCTTTACCATTATATGTTTTCCAATTGGGAAATGTTTAAGGGAGCCCTCCAAAGCAAATTAGGGGAAAGATTTTTATATGTACATTCACACAAACACATTCATACCAAGATACAGTAGGAATGGATGGTCAGCTAATTTTTGCATTGTAATTTTAAATTTCATGCCTTCATGAAAGCTTGCCAATTCTGATCAAGCGGAAAGGGTAATGGGTGTGACTGGTATTCTTTCAATTAAAATTGTTCATGTTGGTTCCTATACAGTACAGTTCAATATTAAGTGCAATTCTGCAAAAGAATTGGGGAGTCATTTTAATATTTACAAGGAACAAATCAGCAGAACAAGATTATATCAGATAGGCTGTGTACAGCAGCTGTGGCTTATAAAACAGACCAGTAATTTGTACCTGGTGAGTATAAAGAAAACCAGGGTAGGATTCAGATATCTTTACAACCAAGGGAATACACAGGGCATCAACAAATTGGGAGAAAAAAAAATTCACATTCTCTACATTAAAAAAAAATTACAGGTCTCACAAATGTCTTTGAAGACAAAAAAAAAATTTTCAAAGTCCTTTGAAGGATGGGAAAGAAGATATCTGAAATGGAACTCTAAATGTAAATAGAGGTTTACTTCACAAGACCAATTTTCTTGGCTTCTGTTTCATATATCAATAACCTCCACATTTTGACTATAAAAACTTCTGCTTCTTCATCAAGTACCTAAAAGAGAAAAAGAAAAATCAGTAACTTGAGTTAGACAAGCAATCAGCATCTCATAACAATGACTGGTATAAAAAGGGTTGTTATCTACTGACAAACATTTACTTTCAATAAAATGAAGAAAATCTGTCTAGTGTGAGAAATGTATTAAGAAGTACATGTAAATCACAAAGAAATACACTCAGCAAAATTCCATGACTTACTACTGAATACTGACACCACACTAACCGGGGATCAGATGGGCTGCTGAGGTACGTGCCCTCAGCAGGGATCAAACCCCTGCTACCTTTCAGTGCATGGGATGACACTCCAACAAATGAGCAACCTGGCCACATCTTGATGCAACTTTTATTGTTACAAATACTACATTTACATACATGTTTTGAAAAGCTATTTCCTAAGGAAAGCAAATGTTTATTATAAAGAGCACAGTAATTTAGACAGATGGATCAAGTACATAATAATATAGTGTATTGCATTTGCCCCCAAACAATCTTACAATCTTATTTATGGAGTCTTTAGGTATATGACACTGAATTAAATATGAGAATATATGAAGAGCATTTAATACAGTGTCCAGAATACAGTAAACAGAGTAAGTGAACACTGTTGTCACTGCAGAGACACAGGACTACTGAATAAATATAAGGTCCTATCCCTTTGGCAAATGAACTACTCAAATTATCTTCCTATCTACATACAACTTAGGGGCATCATGTCCTTGCCATTACCTTTGCCCTTATCCCACACACATAGCCCGCTACACCAAGGCTATAGTGAGATAATATGGAACATCACGCCTCCTTCTACAGGAGGCATCTATGACAAGCTCCAGGGTATCAATGCCGTGAAGATTTGTGGTCTAATGTTATCAACTGGATTGCTAGACAAACTACTTTGGTTCAAATGCCACTTCTACCTCTTACTAGTCACATGTCATTGTCGGGTTACGTAAAACCAAGAAAATGGTGGCTACATAAAACTGGTTCAGAATTTTAAAATTTAGTATGTACAAAGTGCTTTGAAGAGTGCCTAATACCGCCCTGGCTGATGTGGCTCAGTGGACTGAACACCAGCCTGTAAACCAAAGGGTTGCGGTTTGATTCCCAGTCAGGGCACATGCCTGGGTTAAAACTCAAGCTGTACCCCCAGCAGGGGGTGCACAAGAGGCAACCATACACTGAAGTCTCTTCCTCTCTTTCTCCTTCCCTTCCCTTTCTAAAACTAAATAAATAAAAATTTCCCTATATTTCTCAATGACGACAAACAATGAACTTTTAATCGGTCTTTTATGAGCTAGATTTGACCAGTAAGTAGTTCAAGAGGACTATGCTTCAAGTGTAATTAATATGAAAATCACACCTTAGAGATACAGATAGAGGCACAAAATGCAACAAAAGTGCATTAATTTATGTAAAATGAGGAAAGGCACAGTTTGAAAAAGTCCTATTTTTAATTAAGAGCAAAATTACTACTTGAGCTAAAACTTCAATCTCATTTATAAGAGAATTTCAAGGGTCTGTGAGCTTTGCCAAAACGGGGTGACAACACCAGCTCAGTGGTTTCCTCCCTCCCACTGTGATCAACAAGGAACCAGAAAAATACTCAAAACTACGAGTGATTAAGCAGTAAAGAATCTAACTAACAACGCTCCAAATATCAAAAACATTTCAACCAAGTGAATTAACACTGACAGTGCCAAAAAGACCAAAAACTACAATGCTGGTTTTTTTTTTTTTAATTCCTTAATTGAGGCCTAAGTGTGAAAGAAAGCCTCTCTCTACCCCAAGTAAAACCTTTTAAAGAGGCTGAAAGGTCATAAAAGTGCAGACTGTACCCCCAGGGACTGTCTCCTTTCATCCAAGGCTCAGCATTATAGAGTTAACAAACTTCTCACAAATGCTCTATCTGGACATCCAACAACAGCTGAAACAGCAACAACAGCTGCATTGAGCTGGCTGGGAGGCAGCAAACACGTTATCTGGCTTCAGACATCATCTAGTGCCTGGACACAAACAGCTCAACCTTAGGGCTCCTTTTGGTTAGGCACCTCACTATGCCCCATCCTGACAACTGTGCAGCTGAAAATTCAAGTTCCCTGAGTCAACTGTCATCTTATATCGTGATATATATCATCTTATATCATGATATATAACATCTTATATCATGTTTCTTCTTCCTCATGGACTCTTCTCATTGCTGCCTTCCCATTCTACCCCTTGGACCCCAATTACACTTAAAACTAGCCATATTATACTCAACTTTTTTCATTAATGTGTCCATCTCCTTAATTTAACTGTAAGCCTGAGATATCTCCTAAAGACCCTGACATTCCTACAGCCTTCTCAGAAAGTTCCTCACTTTCAAAGCTTTAGCCTCCACAGGGGAGGGGAAGCTGCTGGGTCCTCACTGTTACCATCCTTGCAAACAGTACCTCTACTGGGGTTTATGACACTGCACTACAGCACCCTTGCAGCTCAACAGCAGCTGTCTAGCAAATGCCCATTTTTTCACCCTCATTAAAGGAGCAATCTGGCAGCTGATTCCCGTATTTCTCTCCAATTCTTGTCCCAACATACAATAACTTCAATTTCTAGGTGTAGGATCCAGGCTTAAAATTCGTTCAAGTCAGCCCTGGAAAGGTAGCTTGGTAGGTTGAAGTGTCATCCCAATACACCAAGGTTGCAAGTTCAATCCCCAGTCAGAGCATATGTAAGAATCAACCAATGAATGCAGAAATAAGTAGAATAACAAATCAATGTTTCTATCTTGCTTTTTCTTTCTCCAAAAAAAAAAAAAAAAATCAATAATTTTTTTTTGAAGTTCAGCCATGGCTGGTGTGGCTTGGTGGCTTGAGCACTGCCCTAAGAACCAAAGGGATGCTTGTTTGATTCCTAGGAAGGGCACATGCCTGGGTTGCAGGCCAGGTCCCCAATGGGGGGCATGTGAGAGGCAACAGTACATTGATGTTTCTTTCCCTTTCTTTCTTCCTCCCTTCCCCTCTATGTAAAAGTAAATAAATAAAATTTTTTAAATAAAAAGTTCGTTGAAGTCATTCTAAAAAACAATATCCCTCTACCCAGAAACTCTGTCCCATTACCACATCTGGTACCTTGCCATCATCTGGACTGATCCGTACCACCTGTATTCTTAAACGTTCTACTCCCCCACTGTAACTTCATTGGACAACTCCTCCTCCAAACCACCAGCTCTGTTCCAATAATATTTCCTTCTCCTCCTAGCTTGGGGTTCATAGTCTATTCAATCACACTCTCACCACTACCATCAATGTTCTTCTTCCTTCCTTTTCTCACAAAACCACAAGTTAGATAAATGCAACTACTGACTACTGTAATATCCAAATTAAATACAACTGGGAATGTGATGTTTGACCACTTTCAACCCAACAGTACCAGTCCAAGTGACAACACAGACAACCTTCAAGTCTCAATTTAGACGGTAATTCCTGTGATGCTTTCCCAAAACACTCAACACCATCAGATGCTCTATCTCCTCTGCCCCTTTTTATGCATCTCCATTATAGCAAGCATATTAAGGTATCATTATTTCTATACCCGTCTCTCTGATAGTTTAAGGGCAGATGTTCCACGTTACTATGCTTTGAATACATTGTTCTACCCAGGAAGCACTTAATAAATGCTCTCTAAATGTATTAAAAAGTTCAAGATTTATACACACAAATATGAAAGACGGAAGAGGGGAGAGACTGGTCAAAAAAGGAAACCGTAACTTTAGTGATATCTAATTATATATTGCTGTGGGTACCTTTATCTCTTTTAATACGTATTCAAAATTTAATTCAGGCCTGTAAAGACTCTGGAACCAACACAGTTAGAAAATTGACCATATTCAGCAGTTAGTTTGTTCCCATGGCTAGTAATTAAAATATCAATAACAATAAATTTCTGACTTACCATGGCAACATCATCTAAAATGCTTTGAGGTGAACTATGAGCCATAACCTAAAAGAAACAAGTAATTGTCATTTTGAAAACAAATACCAAAATAGTCTAGCAATGTTAAGATACCCTCAAACTAGTACGGAAACTTCTTGTGGCTGAAGAACCTTTCTATAAATTTCTTAATTCCCCAAACCCCATTCTCTTCAATGGATATTTGACACCATAACCGGGAATCTTAATATCTAAAGCAGCTGTCTTCTAATTCAAATCCAGGCTTACAAGTTTTAATGCTAAGATAATTACAAAAGGCAACCTAAATCTGCTATTTCTAATGTTAAAATGAGGAGAAAAAAAAAGCATCTCTTTCAATACAATTAGTTACCCCTTTACAGAAATATGGTACTCCTATATACTATAATGTCTGTCATATGGGGATATTAGTAACTTATACTTTCTAAGGTTGTTGGGGGGGGGTTCAAGATGGTAAGGTTATCTAAAATGTTTAACATAGTACCTGCTGAGAACAAAGCCCATCACAAGAGTAACTGACCAGTAAACATTATACTACAAAGGGAATTATTTTGCTTCTCCACCAAACAATGGATGACTAACAAACAAGTTGATGAGTCGAGCTATCAGCTGTCTCCACAGAACCTCCTCAACCGTACTACAGCAGCTTTCTAAACATTTAAGACAAAAAGGGAGTGGCAAGGCATTCTGGGGGGCAGGAAGACAGCAAACTTTGCAGCAGCCAGCAATTCTATCCTCTTTGACCCTCTGAAACAAAAGCATGTGGTGTAAGGGTCTGAAATACTGTGGAGGGATTAATTTACGTAGCCATGAATCTCAATTAGAGATAACTAAACTATCACAAGTATCTGCAAGATACTTCATTTTAGAAAGTTTCTTAATATTTCAAAGTATAAAACAATGTTGGTAGTGAAGGAAGAAAACAACTAACCTTAGAACAAACAAAATCAACTAATGTAGCTTCTTCTTCACCTATGTATTCTATGATTTTCTTATTAATCCACGGTCTAATTCGTCGCTCCATCAATATCTGCAAAATAAAGTATCGACGCTAAATTTTTAGAAGTGACTTTTTAATTGTACTTATGAAAAAGCCTATAACCTTGTGAGTTTTCATATTAAAATACAATTATTCACAACTAAGACAGGTACATATCAAGATATATTTGCTTCTAATTTATAAAGACTTGAATGAAGTACCACCACCAATTCCCCAATAATCCACTAAATTCTGTGTCAAGATTCCAGCCACATAATCATCCCTACTTGTCATTAATAGAATCACCTGAGTTTATATGCTATATTCAAAACAACTTCCTATAAAATGACAGATTACAATTTGCTACTCACAGAATCCACAATAGACCAATCCAGGGGATAAGCAAAGAGCTCAGGTTTGGCTGTAGGTATTTTCTCGATGAGACTCTTAATGTGTTTGCGCTTTTCTTCAGTGTTTACAGTGCCTTTGGCAGCATTTTTATCATCTTCACCATAATCCAAAGGAACCAGTTTCCTTTTTCTGGGTACATCATCACTGTCTTCATCTTCAAATTTGTTAAAGACACTATCTACAGGGAGTTTCTTTCTCTTCACAGAATTGGGTTGGCCAGGACTATTGGAAGCACCTACAGTAAAAACACTGTATTAGCATGACGGCTTCGTTTTTAAATGTTATTTTACAACCCATCATCCCCTCAAAAGCAGTGCAAAATATACTTCCACAAATCTCAGAGAAAGATCCCAACTATAAAAAATAACTCACTACTCACAAGTGCTAGAAAATTTAACTTTTCACTTCTTCTCAGAACTCGAGGCAGCTGCAGATATAGGAGCAGTAGTAGAACTATGAAAACAATGATGAGCTAGAAAGGCATTTTTGAGTATTTTTTCTATCTACCTACCAAGCAGCACATTTATTTTTTCCTTAAGGCAAAATTTAGGTGTTTGCAGGGGGGAAAAAGAAAAAAGGAAGGAAATGCTAACATACCCAGTTTAAGACTTAGTCCTATTTTTGGCCTATGCTCCTCAGGTTGTTGTTGATCTGGAGAGTTTTCGTGAGGAATTATAATACCACAGGGAGACTCATCCCCAGGAGTGTTGGGGGTTGCATTGCCACTGGCAGAGGAAACAGATGGGGCGGAACTGATGGGCCTCAAAGTTGGTTTGAGACAGGGCTTCTGCTCAGGCTCTTCTTCCTCTTCCACGGGTTCCTCTCGTTTTTCTTCTTTTTCTTGTTTTTCTTCTTCTTCTTCCTCTGATTCTGGTTCTTGCTTTATTTGTGGCTGTCTGCGTCTCTCAGCCTCTTGTTCCATCTAAAACCAAAAATAATCAGATTAACTCAAGCAGACCACAGCTATACTTAATTCAACTGGCTTTTTGTTTTATATTATCTACACAAAATCTTTTTTCTTTTTCATTAGGAATAATGATACACTGCTTCTATAATCAGAAAGCTGAGTAAATCTGTAAAGTGTGTTAGGTATTCTGCAAAATGTAACAAAATGAATACTCCCCTAAAATTACAAAAGATAATAAAGAATAAGACCATTATAAAAACTTAAATAGACCAGTATTTTTTTCTGTGCATGAAACAAACAACAAAAATAGAAACAATATATATTCTGAACTACATAAAATTTCAAATCCACTGGTAGAGAATTAAAAAAATATCCCAACCTAAATGTTTTAATAGTAAAGCTTTTTTTTTAAATAGTAAGGATTTATGACCAACAATATGCCCAAATAGGAAAGTATGAAAAAAAGAGCCCTGGCCTGTGTGGCTCAGTGGATTGAGTACTGGCCTGTGAATCAAAAGGTTGACAGTTGAATTCCCAGCCAGAGCACATGCCTGGTTTGCAGACAGGATCCCCAGCTGGGAGTGTGTGAGAGGCAACTGACTGATGTATCTCTCACATATCAACATTTCTCTCCCTCTCTTTCTCCTTCCCTTCCCCCTCTCTATAAAAATATTTTTTAAAGTATGAAAAAGACATAAGCAAATGACACTCGATATTCCTAACAAGCATGGGGTATGTCATGTTCTATGACACAGTCTTTTCCTTTTAAATGACAAGCTTTATTTAAAACACCTTTATTTTGAAAACGAAGTAATTTAGGAAGGCAGTGAGAGAGAGAAACTCCCACCACAAAAGCACATTGTAGAACAAGGTTTCTAGCGAAGTTTCATTGAAAGACATTTATTTAACTTAAATAATATTTATAAGAATGAAGGAATAAAACATCTGGAAGATGGTTGGAAAAATTAAACTTATAAATAAACCCACTATTATAAAAAGTACCAATAACCTCCCTCAAACAGCGTGATTCATGAAGCATAAAAGTGCATTGCTATTATAAACTAAACTACATCACAGTCAGCTCAAGATGACATGAGACCAATGTCACTCCAATAGCTTAATGAAAAAGAACTTTAAAAATTTTTTTATTTATTTATCTTTAGAGGGGAAGGGAAGGAGAGAGGAGAGAAATATCAATGTATGATTGCCTCTTGTGTGTCCCCTGCTGGGAACTGGCCTGCAACCCAGGCATATGCCCTGAGTGGGAATCAAACTGCAATCCATTGGTTTGCAGGCCCGCACTCAATCCACTGAGCTACACCAGCCAGAGCAAAAAAAAAAAAACAAAACCTTTTAAATGACCTGATAATCTTAAAAGAATACTGTTGTTATGTACGTGATAGTAACTCACCCTCTGAAGCTCTGCATCTGGATCTGGATGCCCCTCTGCCAGAAGTCGTTGCCTGATTTCCTCTAGCTCCTCCTTCTCTCTTTTCCTATCCCGTTCATCTGCTTCCATTTCCTTTTCCCTATCACGCAACCTTTTCTGAAGAGCACTTCCTCTGCAAAAGAAAATCGTTAACAGGCCATCTTCAATACTCAGATCATCAACACTACACATGAGGTCTCCAAAATCACTTTCTTTCAGTACTAAAAGCTGTATGCTAACAGACTGAAGATTCTTAATGTTCTGTATATGCAGAACACCCAAGACATCATGATCTCTACGCATTACTGTTTAATAAGTGAGCACTGTATTATCACTTAACACCATGCTTCATTAAGTCATTCTAAAAAACTATCTAAAACAGACAAATAATTTCCAGAAAGAAAGCTCTCATTTTGTGCCTATCCCACAGGGAAATCCCAACATGTAACTTGTGCTCTTTTGGATGGCAAGTTGTGAAAAATTAACACAAGAAGCTGTGGCACTAAGCACAAGTCTGTATCTTCAAGTAAAATAAACTCCCTTGTGGAAAAAAGTCCTAGAAAGTAGTACCGAATCAATAAAAAATAGAGGTTCTCTCTAGCAGTTTATTATATCTCAGAATGCTGAATTATGTACTGCTAGTTCATGATTCAGTAAATTTACATTCTTCGGACTTTCTACAAAATCAAATCTGACACTTTTTTTGAGTAAGTTGCTAATTCTGATGTTTCCATTGTTTGGCTTTAGTGTATAAAACTAATTATACATTAAATGCCTTTACTACATGCCTGGATCACTTGAGGTATACGAGGTTTTTTATTTTTAAAAGATTTTATTTATTTATTTTTAGACAGAGGGGAAGAGAAGAATGAGAGAGAAACATCAATGTGTGGTTGCCTCTCACATACCTGCTACTGGTGACCTGGCCCACAACCCAGGCATGTGCCCTGAGACTGGGAATTGAACTGGTGACCTTTTGGTTTGCTGCCCACGTTCAACCCACTGGGCTACACCAGTCGGGGCAGGTTTTTTTTTTTTTTTTTTTTTAATTTAAATTTATTTATCTTTAGAAGGGAAGGGAAGAAGAGAGGGAGAGAAATACCAATGTATGGTTGCCTCTCATGCGCCCCCTGCTGGGAACTGGCCTGCAACCCAGGCATGTGCCCCGACTGAGAATTGAACCGTGATCCTTTGGTTCGCAGGCCTGGGCTCAATCCACTGAGCTACACCAGCCAGGGCATGGGAAGATTTTTTTAAAATTAAAATAGTGTCCATATCTTCAGGGAAATTAGTTTGGAGTAGAGGGAGCAGAACAAAGTCAACAATTTTATAGCAGTGACTTAAGTGCTAGAAGAAATGTCATGGGAAGGAAGAGATGAGGGAAGGTAGGTTTCGCCAACGCTCACTTTACAGTAATACATCAACTGAGTGGAGGAGGGGATATAAGGGTGTCCGGATTGCTTTTGTGGCATTGTTGAAATCCTCGAAGACATCAATTTCTAGACCACCTTAGGCAGTTATAAAGGTCAGGTATAACTTGCTATAAGAACCGGATATCTTTAAAATAAATGAAGGGAAATTTATATTATGGACTTTCCCCACACCAAAAAGATACATAAAGTTGGGGAGCCTCTGCCAAGAGCGCTCTCCCCCAATGCCCAACCATCCTCTCACAAACAGTGTTATCAGCTATGCAGGTGATTACAAGATAGAATATGAAGATTTTGGTTTCTTTTTTATTCTGCACAACTTGTGAACTTGCACTCCTTGGCAGACAAGGAAAAATACAGCTAAAAAAATGCTGAAAATATGAGTCCATAAAACAAGGATTCTTTACCTGTAATATTTGGGATCATCTCTATCATCATCATAATCTTCTAAGAATTCTTTCAGTCGTTTAGCTTCTTTTGCCTTTGAGGAAATGAAGTACAAAGTGTGCAAAATTAACATAAAAGTCATTTAGGTTATACCCTCCCCCTTTCTTGGGAACAGATTTTTCTTATCCATACCACTTGAACTTTATAATTCTCATATACTTCATTTATTAAATGTGCATAACAGTATTTTTTTTTTGTCTTTTACTCATAAGACAAGTCAGATTTAGGACGTATCTGTAAAATAAAACCACATACAGTATGCTATAGTAAATTTCCTCTCTGAATATAATCTTCAAAGTACAGTTACTATTTTCTAGTTAATGAAACCTGAGCACACCAAGAAACAAAACTGAAAGTTATCTTACTGAATATATTAATTGAACAAAAAATATTTTACATATTTCATCTGCAGGTAAATGATGCTATAAGTAGTTTTTTGTGAAATGCAGGATTAAAATTTTAAATCATGTTCATGCATCAACTTAAAGGTAAAGCCTATATTTTCCATGGTTCATACAAACCATGAAAATACATAAACCTCTTACTCCTGTTTTTGGAATTTTAAATACAACAAATATTGTACTTAATTGCAGTTATAGCTAACAATTACATATATATATAAATATATAATCTGCATCTACATTATATGGACAATGATAAAATCTACATACAAAACAGGTAACAGCAGGTTTCTGACTACACTAAATTTTCAACACACTTCATATGTTACCTCTCTTTAAAGACTTCCCCAATCTAATACACTCAATGACCAACTCCTCCCCCCAAATCTCTCTGTACTCCCAAAATACTGTGAATACACCTTTACCATTCCTTAAACACTCTCACACATGCTACAGCATGTGCCTTATCTGACAATACTACCCGCAGACTATGAGGTAGCCATGACAATACAAATACCTAAATAAAACACAGAAAGGCTCATAAGGCAAACACTAAAACAGACGTTAAGTTACCACTCTTGAAGAGCAGAAACTGCCACTTTTTACAACAGAGACTTCTGGTACTTGAACATTTTTACAATGAGCAAATAAACGCCTTTTTTTTTTTAAGTCCCCAAACAAAAAATAGAAAATTTTTCTCTAGAAAGACAGGTTTCAGATTTGCTTGTAGGAAGCAGAATCACTTCAAATTTTTTCCACAAAGTTGTTGGTAGCAAACATTTCTTTAAATAATTATGTCTTAACTGTACTATTCTCTTCCTACTTTCTAACCTAGGGATGAAAAAAAATTCTAGAACAAAAGCCACAATCCAGGGAGATAAAAAGTATTTTCGGTAATTCAGTAATGTTAGCGGATGTATGATCCAGAATGCCCATACTATCTATCTAGTTGCTGCATGCACCCTTTTGGTTACTTACAAAAATTCCCTCTATGTCTCATGTTCAAAAGCTATTTGAAGAAGATTCCTAACTTCAGTGAAGTTTTGGGAAGAATAATCTCCAAACTGGAGATAAAGAAACTTTCATGAAATTCTGGCAAAGACAGAACACATGGAACATACTACTAAAGCAAATACTATGATAAAATATACTTTCGTCATTTTAGTAACAACCTAAACTAATTGCTTCACTCTTATACATCAAGCAATGCAAATGTAAAAAACAAGATGTATTTTTTATGATTATCATATAGTCAAAAGAATAAATAATATTCTAAGAACTATAATCCACAAATGTTATATACAGAAAACAAGTTTTGATTTATAAAACCAGATCTTCCCACGACACTCTCCTCCATCCAAATGTACCAACCAACACAGAATATCAAAGCCTCTCGAAATTCAAAAATGTTGCAGATTCTTAATCAGAGAATGTTCTATAAATTCTCATTTTATGTACTACTCTATGACAGATTTAGTTCAAAAAGTGTGCCAAAATATAATTTTGTTTATAGATAGCAAAAAATATTTTAAAATAGGAGGAAAAAAGATTTTGGTGTACTGAAGGTTTCTCAAAATTACTTAAAATATATGAAAATAAAATTATACTGGGAGCTAATACACTTTAATTATAAACTTACTTTTAGTTAACAGTAAAGATTTGATCTCATTTATATCTGAAAATCACTGATTTACAACTAGAATATTACCATTTCCCTTCTTCTTTCTTCTTCTCTTTCAGCTTCTTTCTCATATTCCCGAGTTTTCTTCCGTTCTCTGATTTCCCAATTCTTGAGACGCTAAAAATAAAATTTCAGAGTTTTAAAAATGTATACAAAGGGTTAAATTTTTGACTAAGTTACTAAGTACCAAGCTTTACAAATAAAAGCATTTCCTCAGTTTACCTCTTGATAAGCAGCTTCTTTCTCTCGGAGTTTTCTCTCAAGTTTTCTTCGTTCATATGCATCTTCTTCGTCCTCTTCTCGGTCCCTCTTCTTGTCTTTCTCTCTCTCACGCTCCCGTTCCCTTTCACGTTCTCTCTCTCTCTCGCGTTCTCTTTCTCGTTCCCGTTCTCTCTCTCTTTCTCGTTCCCGCTCCCGTTCCCTTTCACGATCTCTGCTCTTTTCTCTACACACACACACAAAAAATTTTTTTAATCTGTCAGTCTCCTTTGTTTTCCTTTTAAAACCAAGGAAGAGAGAACATATATTATGAAATATACAAAGTCACAAGCTAGAATTCAGCATTTGATTTCTGCACAACTGTAAAATCCTCTGTCTTTTTCAAAGAGACAAAGAATGTATTTCCAGCCCCAAATTCTGAATTCAATGTTAATGCATATTGGTATCTCAGAATGCAAAACAAATAAAAGACCCTGGGTATAAGAAATAAAAAGGACTAATAAACATGTTAAAAGATAGTCTGTTTCACTAGTGGTCAAGGAATAAAGGTGTTGGAAGGGTATGGAGAGAAGAGCATTTTGGCATCTTACACAGATAAATTAAAGTCATACTTAGGAGCAATAAAAAGTTCTCAAATATTTAATTTGGAATGATAAAACTGAATTACGATGTATGGTATGGTGCCATAGATCTAATTAAATACAAGTATGTATGTCTACATATGAAATAATACACTATTTATGGATTCATATCTATAATATAAATATAAAAACACTGTTTTTACATAGGTCGAAATCTCAATGATGGTTATTCAAAAGGATACTAGTTATTCCAGTGGAGGAAGTAAAAGAAGAATTTGCCCACTAAATAGTAAGACCACTGAACTTCCAGTTTCAGCAACTGGTAAAATGATCTAAACTGGACCTCCCTTCAGCTACAATAAGATAGGAAATCTGCAACACAAAAATGTGTATTTGAGATTGAGAGTGGGATAGCCGGCTTGCGAGTGGGAACCCCTCTGCATTGTGTGTAACAAAAGAGAGATTTCTAAATGAGTGATGCTGAGAAGGCCAAGATTTCTGTTCAAAAGTGTACCCAGCCATACTGTGGAAGATGGAGGAGAGCACAAGACTAGGTCTAATCTCCATGGTCTGTATGCCTGAAAGACAGATCAGGCCCCTGGATTTTCTTACAGGGATGCCGACAAGAACAAAGCCATCACAGCTCAGGAGAGGTTACACTGATGGGAGTATTTGAAGAATACCAAGAAGTGCATTCCTAGAACAAAAATGACCTTCACTGGCATTAAGAAGTGTACAGAAGGGCAGACTTGACAGCTTATCTTTAAAAAGCTACTAATGAGTAATAATAGTTGGCCACTGACTTACTCCAAGTGTTTCGTAACTTTATGTGTACTATATTTAAACTGATCTCATACACCAGAATTCAGATCATGATGGCTGATAGAACATTTTTTGCTCAGTCCTGCTTTAAATAAAATTGGCTTGTGGTTAAACGAGTATGATCAGCTTTATGAACTGCGGTGATGGTACTTTTGGTTCAGCAAATGCTATCACCATTCTCCCCTTCTAAAAATATGATTGGACTTGATTCATAATGCTCAACTTTTGACACAAATGGTGAATGCCATCTCAAAACCTATAGGAGATTGGTTTTATATTTCGATTTATGCAACTGGTTATATTAACATGTTTAAATACTGAGAAAATATTGTTGCTTCACTGTTTCTTTTAACAGTAAGACTCACTTGTGTTTCAAATTGTGTTCATTAACCTGTTAAAAGGCAAGGGCTGAAGATAAGCTGGCAGTGTCCATTTTATCTTTTCTGGTCCTAACTATGCCAATTTAATCAAAATTTTCTGTATCTAATCTGTTGCCTTTTACTTAGAGGCATTTTAGTGTTATTTATGTATAACATCAAATAAGAAATATTTAACTCATCAAAAAATGTTTGAAAACTAGCTTGAAAAAAAAGATGTGCTTTTCTTCCTTTCCTCTTCCTATTCTCCCTTTTCCACTGCTTTTCCTTTTTACTTCCTCATTCCTAAAGAATTTGAGATTCATCAATGGAAAGTAACATAATTAAGAAAAATTTCTAAATACAACAAAACAAAACAAAACAAAAAAGGTATAATTAGCAGTAGTCATAAAGACAGTACATTTTGAATTTTGAGTCTGGGAGGTGAGTTTCAGGCATCCAGTAGACTGACTATAGGAGCAAATAAAAGACACCAGAGGCTGAGCGCTGGGGTGCAGGACCTGATTTCCCAGTAGACTGGACAGACCTTAATGAAACACTAACTAAAGGAAAAATGGCCACTGGCCCAGGAAGACAACGGAGAATCCTGTCTGCCTATAGAACTGGGTGAACAGCGGTGTGTTTTGGGGTGTGTGTAAAAACTGGCTTAACACAGAAATTAATTTTAAAGATGAAAATTGTTGCTCTCACCAGCATTTTTTACATGTGCAATATAGCAAGCCGGGCATGCTCTGTGGCTAAGTTCTCTCATCACATATATGTAAATAGCCCTAAGAGTGTAAACCTCCAGTTCAATTAAAACTATCAGGAAAACAGTAACTTCTATGAAGCCTTACCTTGAACGACTCCGATCCTTATTGCGATCTGAACTCCGTTCCCGATCACGGTCACGGTCTCTTTCTCGATCGCGGTCTCGATCTCTCTCCTTCGTCCGGTCACGATCCCTATCCCGTTCTCGTTCCCGCTCCCGTTCCTTCTCCTTTTCTCGTTCACGTTCTCTTTCCCTTTCTCGTTCCCGTTCTCGCCTTTCTCGTTCCCTTTCACGCTCCCTCTCTCTTTCTCTCCGTTCTTTCTCAATTTCCTGTCTTTCTTTTTCTTTTTTGCCTTTCTCTTCTTCCAGTTTCTAGAAACCAATAAAAGTACTTTTAGAGTTAACTCTGTGGCTCCCGTATGCAGAACTTCCCCGGCGCACTGCCCAATATTGGGGGGGAGGGGCAACAAAATACAGCAGCAACAACAAAAACCACTGGTACTTTATGATCAAATACTTGTGGTTTTACTTGACAAATTTAACTAAAGTAATCACAAGACTAAATAGATTTCGTGCAAAACCATATACTCTAGAGAGACCAGGTATCTCCAATCTTGGATGCTGGGAGATTGTGTCAAGTGTGGCTGTCCACTCAATGATTATGTAATAACTAAAATGACCACGAGAAATGTGTTGGTTCACAGTAATTTCTAGTAATACAATCACTTGGCTAAAATGTAATTCTTCCCATTATAAATTTCTGTAAATCACTGGGACTACTGATACTAATTTCAGCCTCGGACTTCCCATTACCTAAAGGTTACTAGTTAAGGTTTTAAAGAAGAGGCAGGAAAAGAGGCCACTTTTAACACAACTAAATAATCTACCCTCTGGTGTTCCCACCCTCCAAAAAGGCAAGGTGAATTCAGCCAAGATCTGCTTTACTATCTACATTGAAACATTTACTCCCATCATTACAAGATGGATAGCCCACCAAATGCAAAAAGTTTGAAAATCACTCACTTCAAGCAAAAAATGTACATTATTGTAATAAGTTTCATTTAACTTAACAATAAAAGCAACATATTTATGCCCCTTATGCCTACAAGACAATAAAAATATACTGACAGTGATAAATCCATCCTTGGAAGGAACAATTGCATGTGAACTTACAGATGCTGTGCTAGGACATGGATCGCCAACACTGGATTAACCTTGCCTACAAGCTATGTTTCTGGGAGGAAGAGCAAGTACATGGTTCACAAACAAACCAAATAACAAAGTAAGACCAAGTTTGCACCCTGACAAGATTACCAGTGTATCACACGGTTTCTACACAATCTCAGAAAGAAAAATAAAATACCCCAAACAGGAAAACAAAACAAAAACAAAACATATTTATCCCTTTGGTTCCATGATGAGAGGCACTGAAATAAACTCTAGCAATAAATGTGCATTTTTTTCTTTTCTCAGTCATGTAAAGCATTTAAAACAACTTTAAAAAGCAATCTTACCTGTTATACTCTGTTTCTCTTGTTCATGGACCAGAGAACTGAGAGAGGAGTATGAAAGAAAGGCTAATGCATGAGAATCAATATATTCAGCTGCTGTGCCAGTCTTTACCAAAGTAGAATGTAGGCAAAGCTAAAACTGAATACATTGAAATTACAAAGGGAAGAGAAAAAGAAAATGGTAGAAAGACAGAAACTGTAAGCTCTTTCGAGGGCCAAATTCTAATTTCTGAAACAGTTCTATAAAATTGTAAAAATCTAAATTTTACAATGAGGCTAGACTACATAAAACTTACCTCAGTGTCATACACTTATAAAGAAATTTATTTCTGAGATAATACTTACAGATTATTTTAGCTGTTCCAATAATTTCTTTTGTAGAATTCCTCAATTTTTTAACTCTTGCTTAGTCACTGCACTACTTAATTTCTTAAGTGTATAGTTTCACTTACGTAAATAATAATTTGTTTCAAACTCAATTCAAAGGTTTTGTTCTAAGTAAATGAAAAGGTGAATGAATCTGGTTCATACTAAATGCATTTCTAAAAGATTATATTTGCAATAAATAGATACAAACACACACATATATATTTTAAGACAAAGACTGAAGAAAGAGGAAATGGAGACTAAACTGATGTAAAGAAGTAATGAAACAATGAAGAGAGAAGGATAGAAAAAAAACCGTAAATCTTACCTTGTTCTCTCTTCAGACTCGTCCGTGCTGTAAATGGACGCCCCCTGCCACGCTGACACCCTGACAGTCTGCGGTTACTTAACAAACTCATACCAAAACATGCAAAGGTTCACTGAGCTCATTGTTTGTCACTCAAGTTTTAAACATTTCCTTTAACCATACCACCCAATAAAATAAACATTTTTTCTTTTCCATTTTGACTTTGTTAAAGCACAGTTTGGAAATTCAAAACATCCCCTGGCAGTGAATTAAATCTTAGGCAGTCAAATGCCTCACAGCTTCTCAAAACTCTGAAGCAGGTGTCTTGAATTAATTAAGAACACAATTTCATCATACTTTTTTACCAATGACATGACAGGGTTTAAACAAATAACAAAAAGGGCATAAACCACACACACAACTGTATACTATTTTCAAGCTTACTCAGACACTGAATTTGAGTATTAAACCTAACCAAAAGTATTCCTCTAAAGTGACTTCCCATGGACTACTACCCTTTTAAGTCTAAAAATTAACTCAGCAGAACTGCATTTGTGCTTTTAGACATATTTAATTCCTGAAAAAGCACTGTGTGTGTCAGCTAGGGCTGGGCCTGGACAATAAGTGTTCAGCAGCACTGATTCAATGGCATTAATTGTCAACTTGGAAATTTGAAAGCAGTAAGAAAAACTAAGATTAAATAAAAGAAAATATAGACACAACATTTCACTGAATGAAAGGTCACTCAGTCTTATGAGGAAGAACCAGTAATATCTTAGCTCTAACATTAAAGTATATTTCATGCAGTGTTTGCACGTCACTGTCCATAAGCATCACCTTCACCATCAGCGAACACTCACAGATGCACTGTCGTTGAGAGAAGCTTTCAACAGGCGAACCTCGTGAGTGGGATTCACTATGCACAAATACCCATTTCCAAGCCAGTTACCCCTTTGCATATTTTTCTGAGGGGGCATCCATAAATATAATAAAAAACAGAAGCTCATACTTACATCCTATTCCTTGTTACTTTCCAAGCTGAGTGTTTCATCTTGCATTAGTCACCATATGATCTCTATCATAATGGTGGGGGGTCAATGAATAGATTAGCTTTATGGGCATTTACAGTTCTTCCATGCATCTAAAATTTGGTAAGTCTGGTAACCACTGACCTACTTTAAAAAATCTCCCCCTCTCAACTTAATCTATGCAAATATAAATCTTAAATCTTAACCTCAGCTCTAAAGAAATGGTTTTCCTAAGATTAAGTTAAATAACTGCCCCCAGAAATACACTACGGTGTATGTTATCCTGCCCCCTTGAATCTGGTTTAAATCTGACCTTGATGTTTATGTTGAAATCTAAAAATAAAATCAGACTTCACTCATATTAAAGTGAGATGACTGCAGAGTAGTAAGTAACTGAAAAAACTAAGTACAATATGTCACGGTCCACTTTAATATGGTATTGGTCTTCTGTTTTTTTCTATCCAAATATCAATTAAACCTATAAAAAGCATTTAAAAGTATATCCTAATGTAAGGTTGATTTTTTTTTTTTGTCTGTTTGCTTTGGATTCTGTAAAAAGTCTAGATTGGTATCAAGTGAAAAAACAAGAATACTACCTTGTGTGTATCTCTGAACTTGCTGATCTCTCGAGATATCAGGTCTCTTTTGTCTTCTTCCATTTCTATAGCATTTATATCCTCCTAAAACACAAAGGGGACAAGAGGGAATGCATAAAGATCAATCTAATAAAAGTAAAGGTTAGATATCTGTACAGGTCTTTCAAAGATAGAACTAAATTAAAAGAACTAATATAGTAACAAATTTAACACTCAAAGTTAAATAGGGAAAATCATATAAACAAGAATCACAAATCTGGCAATTAGCAGTAAACACTGTTATTGTAAAAGCCTACAATGTGAACAAACCTTAGTGATGAGTGGATAAGGGATCAGAGGTGCCACTGGAAATCTGCGAAAAATCTGCGAAAAAATCCAGAAAGAGTTTTTTTTAAAAAAGCAAACAAAAAAACAAGAGTTCACATTACTCTGCATAACAATGCTCTGTATGTTTATACTGTAAACAATGCAAAATCTGTGACATTTTCTGGATTGCAAATTACTTGAAAATAAAGAACAGATTTCACTCACTCTCTATAACCTCTCCCATCACCTCCTCTCCCTCCAACTCCCCTAAGCAAAGGAGTGAGGACTATCTCATACTAGCAGGGCTCTTTCCTTGATACAAATTTGGGAACAATCATACCAAGAAAATGTGCCTATAATTTCTGCCATAGAGGATTTCTTTGATCATCTCTTCCAAACCCACATCCAACATCAATGTCTAGTTATTTTTCTCCTTTTCCATTAGTGAGGAAGGGAGAACACTCCACAGGCCTCAATTGGCCTGGACCTGACTAACTCTTCCAATTACTATTCCCAAGTAATTATTGGCATTTTACCAGACAGGTATTTACGATCACATGAGGAAGAACAATCCAAGCAATAAAAATGTATTTGGCCACAAAGAACATTGAAGATGGCCTAAAAATAAGGCAATAAAATCCGAAATAACATGAATTTTTATATTAAATCCAATATGTTTCATAGTACTTTTTCTTGGCACAGCAATCCATGCATATAGCATAATTCTAACATTTTTAAAGAACACTCTTGTCCTAACGGGAGTGGCTCAGTGGGCTGAATATAATCCCTTAAACTGAAAGGTCACTGGTTCCATTCCCAGTCAGGGCCCCAGCAGAGATTCATGAAAGAGGCAACTAGTTGATGTTTCTCTTGCACATTGGTGTTTCTCTCCCTCTCCCTTCTCTTCCCCTCTCAAATAGATAAAATCTTAAAAAAAGAAGAAAGAAAAAAAACACTCCCCATAATTTCTCTAAGTTTATTAAAAAAAAATGGGTATAAAAAAACATCTTCTTTCAACCTGGGCCCCCTACAATAGTTCAGTTAGCTTGGTCTGACGAAGAGCGGTGATAATAAAATACACTAGGGTGAAGTGCTTCATCCTGTACCGCTCTCTCTCAGTCCTCCAGTTAGAACTTAAACAGCACCACTGTCCGCGGAGGATATGAGACATGGTTTACAAGGGGAGGCAGCTAAAAATTTTTTAAAATGGGTAAAAATCCTCAAGTGAATGAGATCAGCATCCTGCTTGGAGCAGAGACAGAGTGATAATGAGGAAGAGTAAGGCAAAACACGGCCAGCCCCTTCCTAGCCAAACAAAAACAAAAGCATTTCACTTTTTAAGCCTTAATATCAGTCTCTACACCTCATCACTCGAGGTCTGTTTCCAGCCTTACTGAATCTGAATCCAATGCGAAGCAGAAGCTTCCATGCCAGTACATTTCAAACATGGAAAACAGAAATGTTTTGGTTAAAAAATTATCAAGTTAATTGGTCAAATGAGGCTGAACAGTATATTATTATAAATGCTAGTCATTCTGTTTTTCCCTCAGAAATTAAAATGAAATGAAAGCACAAGAGTGACACCATAAAAAGTAAACTGTAGAAATAACTTGTCAGAAATCAGTAACACATACGTCCTCTTTCTTTTCCTTCTTCTTCTTCCTCGGGTGAGAGTCAGATTCTTGTGAAGGGGCATTGAGCTCGCTGGAGTATTCACGTATCAGAACTTCAATGGCCCCTTTGATCATCTGATCTCTTCTCTTTGTTTCTTCGTCTAAGGCTTCTTCATCATCATTAGTGACAGTTTCTGGCCTGGCAGTCTTTAAAACAAAACAAAACAAAAACAAGGCAAATTCAGGGGTTGGGGGGAGAGAGAATAAGAAATCAACCAAGAAAATGAAAATCATTCCAAAACAAGAGTTAGTATACGAAATAAACAAAATGTCTTCTCTAAAACATTCCTGTAGTCCTAAATACAGATTTGGTTTTGCTTTTAACTTTATAAAACTAAACTTTTGTTTTAGTGTTTCTTCTTTAGATGCTGGTACTTTATCACTTTCTTTTCCTTTTTCCCCTTGATAGCTATATTCTGATCCTTAACCAGCTACAGAAATGTAAATCACAGGACTAGCACACTGCACAACATCTGCCAAGCTTTCCCAATCTTTCAGACTGTCTTGCTCCATACTTGCACAAAGAATGTTTCCTAAACAATTTAACAGTTGAAAATTTAATTATGTAAAAAAAGCAAAGTATAACGTTATGTACACACTAGTCACTACTTTAAATAAACGCCTGTGTTGGTGAAGTGACCCAAAAAAAACACTAGAAAACTTTATACAATAAAATGCAAGCATCAGATAGATCAGGGGCTGAAACAATATAATCTTTTCCCTTCTAATTTTTATAATGTGGGAGTATCACTTATAAAAATCATATACACTAAGTAAGAATCAACTCATTACTGCACAAACCTTTCTCCCCCATGAATTGCACATGTAACATAATAAAAACCCCAAATTCTCCCTGGCTGGTGTGGCTAAGGGGATCGAGCGCCAGCCTGCAAACCAAAGGGTCACCAACTGGATTCCCTCTCAATCAGGGCACATGGCTGGCCAGGTCCCCAGTAGGGGGTGTGCAAGAGGCAGCCACACGCTGATGTTACTCTCCCTCTCTTCCCTTCTAAAAATAAATAAACAAAATCCTTTTAAAAACACACACACACAACTCATGTTGTAATGTTTCTCACAAGTAAGCAACTGTCTATAATACTTCATTAATTTTAAAAAGAAGTCTAGATTGTTACTTCTGTCAATATGCAAAAAAATTACTGGCTTCTAAACCTATAAAAAGCATTTAAAAGTATATCCTAATGTAAGGTTGATTTTTTTTTGTACTACTCTTCTTGTTGTTTCTCAGTTTTATTTCAAGTCCCGTGATTAAGAAATTAAATCAGTTGAGACCACAAAATTTAGAGAATGAGCTGAGAACACTGGATAATTTCCAGTTGGTTACTCTCAATTCCTCTCAATTCCATGTATATACAGATTTAAATTATGAAAGGTTTCGTACACAAGTACGTGCACAAAACCTTTTGTAATTTAAAACTATATACACATGCATGCCCCAAAGTACGTACCAGTTTACTTGGTAAACATATACTATGCACATTTTCAGATACACAAACATGAACCATGCTCTTCTGCAGAAACGCTGGCTTCTGGTCACAATGCATACTACTCTACTCAAGGTTGAGTTTAACTAATTGTCAGTGTGAGAAAAACAAAAATAAGCCTGTGGCTCCTTAATATAATCTAACAGTTATTTCTTAACCACCAGCATTCTGAAAGCTATCACCAACGAACACTTACTCAACAAGCATTTATTTCTTAGATAAATTTACTGAACAAAGAGGCTATTGTGTGCAGGATACTATGCTAAATGACAAACAATTCAAAATTCAAAAAAATAATAATAATAACCTTGCCCTTAAGTATTTAATAAAGGATAAGAGAAAGTTATGATACAAATAACTTCAATGTAAGTTGTGCAGTATTATAAAACTAACCACTGTTAAGAGTTTCTTTCTCAAACCTGCCTCTTCAATCCAATCTTCTTGTTGCCAACCATTTCTACCTGGCATCTTAAATAAAGTCAAACAATTAAAATAATTTTTTAAAAATATTGTCACTATAATGCTGGTGATGTGTCCCTTTCTTACTTTAGATCAATAATCTACCACAGTTAAGGTCTTCATGCAGCTTTCACTAAAATCCCATCAGTGAGACTCTTCTTCTCCATAGGTTGAAATTAAAAGTGTACCCTCCAGTAAACCTGTCACTGAAACAGAAGGTTTTAGAACACACATAGCTATTTCACCTAACCCTCAGCTGCTGAGCCCTAAATTATTATGAAAATACACTTTATGAAAGACCATCCAAGTCTATCTTTCCCCTACATTCTAAATTCCTTTTGATGGCCCTGGCTGGTGTGGCTCAGTAGATTGAGCACCAGCCTGCAAATCAAAAGGTTGCCAGTTTGATTCTCAGTAAGGGCACATGCCTGGGTTGTGGGCCAGGTCCCCAGTAGGAGGTGCTCAACAGGCAACCACACACCAATGTTTCCTTCTTTCTCCCTCCCTTCCCCCTCTCTAAAAATAAATAGATAAAATATTTTTTTAAAAATGTACATTTTTAGAAGGAAAGCTAATCAGCCCAAATCTCTTAATTAATTGTAAATATAAAAAAACAAAAATAACCAGATATATCATGGAAAGAACATTTATTTTTGGTTTCAAACTGCTCTACCTCTGGGTCCTCAACCATAAACAATTTCCTGATTTCCAGTTTCTTCTTCCACTTCAGACACAAAAAGTGCATTCAGTTAATACTGAACAGCAGAAGATGAAGGGTTTAGCAGTAGAACAGAATCACAGAAATCCATTAAGTATCTGAGATATTTATGAGGCCCACTTAATTTGGCTCTTTTCAAAGGAAAATTTTAAAGCTTCAATAGTAGCTTTACTAGTTGGAGAACAACTCTTCTAGGCTCCTCTGGCATTCAAAATAAGAACTTCTTCGGGAACTGAAGCAAATGCACAGCTCTTTCTTTTGATGAAAAGTAGATTCAGCCAGACTAATCTGCAGGCAAAGATGTGAAGATATTCCTACCTATAGCATCTATCACCAACTAAAATGTAATGTTAAGTGGCTCCTTCCAGAGATTATCTGTACTTCCAGCACTTGTAAGAATCATTCTTGAATGTGTGGCTACAACCACCCGCTGTGACAAGCAGCTAGCTCTATCTACCTCTACCGCTAAACAGCCAGAAAGCAACAAGAGGTGGACTAGATCAGCATGGCTACCATAGATTAAATATTTTTACTAAAGGTCAACAAGTTGCTTCTACAAATTCTGAAAAATCTCAATGAAAACTTCCAATCAAGGTAATAGACAAAGCACATAATTCCTCTTAAAATTCTGGGTCAGGAAAAAGTATATCTCTCTAAACAAGCTTGTGCTTCTTTTTTGGTGAAAGAGAACTCTGTAACTGTTTTCTCTTCTGCTTAGAATGAGAAAAATGGCTGAATAAAGTAACATACAAGTTTCTTAATGTCTCATTTTTGGATCATCCATCTTAAGCCACTGCTCTCTAAATTTCTTCAACAAATCAACAATAAAGTAGGAAAGACAAATAACCTCTCATATTTTATGCTGAAAAATCATGACAAATCTGCATTCTGTACTTGACAATATAGTTATACTTGTCTAAGTTACTTTTTAAAGTTTATCTGATAGTCAGCTTTTTGAAAATGAAAACTTGAGGAAAATTGACATTGCAGAAAAATAATGCCGCATTTGTCTTGTGACTTCATGCACCTGGGTACCATACAACTGTACCCAGGAGTAATGTCTGTTAATTATTTTTACTTCATTTTATCTGAAATCATTGTTTCTTTTGGAGGTGGCTTCAATTCCATTCTTGAAGAAGAAACAGATTTAAATTGTGGTTCCACTTGCTAGAGGCACAAAATTGTGCATCTCCTTATTCATAGAAATATGGAGTGAAGGGCTTCATATTCAGAGCACATTATCTGAAAACACTACAAATTAAACCACTTCACAGGCTTATGAGTAAGCACAGCAAAACAATGAATCCCCGTGTAAAGAAATAAGTAAGTCAATTATCACAGCAAAGAAAATCTGAAAACTCTTATGGCATAGTTTGTTTTTGTTTTGTAAGATTTTAGTGATGTGACAGATAACACAGTTGATCTGAGATACAATTTACACTTCAGAGAAATTATATTTTATTATTCCCTTATAAAACTAGGTAAGAACAGTAAGATTATCAGGACAGCAATACAACTACAATTGTTACTCAATAAATATGCATTCCATTCTTGCTATGGGAAGACTTTTTCCTAGGTTCTGTGGAAGTATAAGATACAGGGACATACACTGTAAACTTCATGTCCTATTTCGCCATCAAAAAATGGGGGGAAGGATACGAGAATGAAAAGGATATAAAGGGCTGTGAGAAACAGATACAAACATTATATATATACTACAGCCCTGGCTGGTGTAGCTCAGTGGATTGAGCGCAGGCCTGTGAACCAGAGGATTGTGGTTTGATTCCCAGTCAGGGTACATGCCTGGGTTGCAGGCCACTTCCCAGCAGGGGACCCACGAGATGCAACCATACATTGATATTCTCCCCCTCTCTCCTTCCCTTCCCCTCTAAAGATAAATAAATCTTAAAAAAAAAAATTATAAACTAAAAAGTGGACTGCCATTAACAGCAGCAAAAACCTACTTGATATAAGAAGAGAGAATATGCCCTGGCTGGTGTGGCTCAGTGGAATGAGTGCCAGCCTGTGAACCAAAGGGTCGCCAGTTGGGGCACATGCCTGGGTTGCAGGCCAGGTCCCCAGTAGGGGGGTGAATGAGAGGCAACCACACACTGATGTTTCTCTCCCTCCCTTGCCTTCTCTATAAATAAAATCTTTTTAAAAAAGAATTTAATTCTGCCTGAGAGGAATCAAGGGATAAGACAAATGAAGGCTATATGAGTCAAGTAACATTTTAATTATACTAACTATATGAACAGAATTTCAACAGGGAGTATGGATGGGCAACAAGGACATGAGGTATCACAGAACACAAACCAAGTAGACTGAAGTAGGCCATGAATTCGATGTTAAGAAAACAGACTTTAAACTGTTCAGAAATTCAAAACCATTAAGGATGGATGAGCAGGGGATTGGCAAAATTATAGCTCCTTTTCTGAAATACTGTAACAGTCAGATGAGACAAAACTAAATGCAGAGAAACGAGTTAGAAGTAATACTTTAAAGTATTAAAGTCCAAGGAAAGAGAGGAAAAAGGCCATTTACAAAACAATAGTTAGAATTCAATCCTGTGTGTATGAAAGAACAAACACACCTACTCCTATCAAAACTACATTCATCCATACAGAAAACTGTCTGGAAGAATATGCAACAAAAATGTCTATAGTGGTTATTACTAATAGCGATGGGATTATGAGTAACACATAACTTCTCTTTTATGGCTTTATATTATGAGTTTTTTACAAAGTACATGTTTTTGTAAAGAAGGGAGGGGTGGAACCTAAAATTTTGAATGAAATAAAAAGGGGAATGAAATGAAAGGGGTGGAACCTTTTATTGTGAATGATAATGAAACTTGAGAGCAAAAGACTGTTTTGTTTTTATAGAGACAGAAAGACAATAATAAATCTATTTGGGATCCGTTCAGCCTGAGGTGCCAAAAGGAACTAGAAAGGGATAATGGAGAAATATAAACTAGGATTTTAGGTATTTTTTGCTTTGTTGAGAAGAAGTAATAATACATGCAACACAACATATAAAAACTCCTTTACTTCAGCTTTGCTTTGTACAGCCACCAATCTGAAGAACATAATGTTGATACTTTAAATATTTTAGAACCTGTGTACTTCTAAAGGACAGGGCAACTAATAAAAGTTGTGTAGATTGAAATATATTTCGTACTTACTTACAAAGCTGCCTTAATGAATTAGCTCTGTTTGGAATAGTCTGTACCAATGTTTTCTCTGGCAAGTTAACCTTGTCCAGCCTCCCTTACTACCTTCATCCCAACCTGGAACAAGCAAACCAACAGTCATCCACCCATGGTGGGTAGATAAAAGACTTAAAATAACCATAAACTCTAATAACACCCTTCTGCATGTTAGTCACAAGCATGATGATCTTGTAAAGCCCCATATTAGATTCATTTACAGTAAGCATTTACACTAAAAGAGCACATTTGGCCTAGAAAAGATAACATTATGGAAAACATACCCCATTAGAAGCTTTCTTCTTTGCTTTCCATTCGTCTAGTTGTGCCTTTGTCTTTGCATCGACTTTAACAAGCAGCTTCTTCTCTCCAATCTGCAGGTCATGCAGTAACCTGAGTGCCCGGAGGGTAGATTCAGGCTCCTTATACTCACAGAATCCAAAGGCTAGCAGTAAATGTAAAGAATTAGTAAAATGTCAATATATTGTGAAAGATGAAAAAAATTTATGGAAAAATTAAACTCAGCAGAGATGAAGGGTTGTAATACTAAGCAAGAATTATTCATGTTGCCACTCCTCCCTTTCCTTCAATTACCTTTGGAAGGGGTTTCACTTTTATACCCTCAACCAAAAGGGAGAAGGCAAAGAGGGGAAAGGAAAAAATTCTAATCAGGCAAACTGCTACATATTAGAAGTGCTGATAAAAAAGTTAGCAAAAATCAATAAAGTTCGTGATTGAGACTGTTAATTACTTCACGAATTCATTCCATCCAGACTTTCTAACAGCTACAAATAAGTGAGAACAGGCTGCTCCAATGTAAATAAAGCACTTTTCTGAGAAACTAAACTATAAAAGTAATGATCTCTTATCCTAGTTACTCATCTAATTTTTCTACATCTGTTTCATTTTAATAACTAGGGTAGTCTCACTATTATTACATGCCTTTATGTCAGAGATAGTAAAACAAAATTAAAAAGTAACATAAACACTAAAAGTTAAATTAAACAAATAAATCCAAATATGTACACAGTTAATGACATAACCACACAGAGAAAAACTATTGTAAGTGAATTTAAAACTGAACATTTGACCATACATTTCTAGTGTGACATATCCTAAGGACAAAAGGATCTGTCAATAAAAAAAGAAAATTTCAGTAATTGTATTTTTGATGACAGCATTGCTATTATTACCCTGAAATTACTGCGTGTGAAATGTGAAGTGAAGCAAGCCAGTAATTATTAAATAGTCTATTATCCCAGGTGTCCTCGAAACTCAGGATTATCAGTGTGGGAGAAAGAAAATACAGACATATGCCAGAAAAGGATAAATAAAAACCTCTTAGTCCAAAACTCGAATCAATGTGCACCTGAAGGACGTAAAAGCAAAGACCAAATCACTCTTACAGTGAGTACACTTAATTCCTAGACTGTGATGTTGAAAGCAGTTTCCCACTAAAAGGAACCAGAGCTCCTTAGAGAAATGGCTAATCTCAAATCCGAAGCAGAAAATCTACTAGAGTGAGCTCAGAACGTATTGTCATTCCAGATAACAAAGAAGCTATCAAAGGCAGGCCTGTATTGAAACCAATGGAAATCCAAAATTGCAGAAAAAACTAACTAATCAGAGATTAAGCTTCACCCACAATAATAATGGCAATTAATCCACGTTAAGTAAAATAGTAACAAATTTACTATGCTTCAATCCATAAATTCAAAATAGTTCTTTAAAAGGAAAGTCACTGCTAGAGGATGTTGAAGACACAAGCTTTTACAAAATAAAATGAAGAACCAAAGCATTTATCCTGGTCTTCAATACAAATTATACCCTTAAAGTAACCGAAGAGTAGATGAAGGGGAAATTTTATCCTTATAGAAGTATTCTACTAATAAGTGAAGATTTGTTCTTCAAATGAAGGAATGATAGAATTCTTCAAAACAGACTATTATATTTTGCAAACCCCAATCAATGAATCAACTTAAGCACTGACAATCAATAGCTGCTACCATAAAAAGATACCCCAACATGTCTCTTTATGAAAGATGACTTTTAGAGAATTCTTACAAATAAAAGCATCAAAAAAATAACACAAACTCAAGTCTGATCAAGTCTCAAGATACAACTACTAACCAGTTTACATAAAATACAGAGGATAAGATGCATGGCATATTATTCTACTGGAGCTTCAACCAGCAAATCCACACTAAAGAAACACTAGTGGGCAAATGACTCTGTTTCTTCAACAAATACTTCAAGGGAAAAGAGACAGTTAAAATATGTCATCCCCTCTGGCTGGTGTGGCTCAGTGGATTGAGTGCTGGCCCTCGAACCAAAGGCTGTCCAGTTCAATTCCCAGTCAGGGCACATGCCTGGGTTGCAGTCTAGGTAGGTCCCCAATAGGGAACTTGCAAGAGGCAAACACACAAAAAAAACACTGACATTCCATCTTAAAAAAAAAAAGTCATCAATTGTAATGTGTATACCTTATTACCCAGTTCCTAAATTAAACTATTAAAAAACTGGACATTTGAGGGAAATGGACATCTGAACATTGAATGGGTTTTGACTCAATGGTGGGTCTCTCAATACTGATTTAATGATATGAACAGAAATAGTTTTAAAAAAAAAGGAAAAAGAACTCAGGCACCGGGGGGAAATAAAAAGTTAATTCTTTTAGATCTTATATTTTAATGTTTCTTTTTTAAAAAGCCTTTATCTTTTAAAGACATGCACTGAAATATTTAGACAAAATAATCTAATGCATAAGTCTGCTTAAAAATAATAGTAAGGAGGAAATGGGTGGAGCACAGGTTAAACATGATTGCCCAAGAGTTAGTGATAAATGTTAAAACCAGATAATGAATACCTGAGAGTTGATCTTACTATTCTAATGTTATATATATGAATTTTTCCATAATAAAAGGTGTTTAAAGAAGCCTGTAAAACAGGTGTTTCTATCAACAAGCACGAAAAGAACAATATGCTTTCAAGACTACCAGGCCATCTTCATCATCTTTCTCCTACTTTCTTGGTAAATCCCAGTTGTCCCATATTGATCAATCACTCCTGCTCTGAGACAAAAAGAGCTTTGTAATCTTAGAAGAAACCAGCTGGTCTGCATGATATTTTTTCTTTCCTACCTCCTTCCTGTTATACTTTTCCACTTTCTAATCTCAATGCTCAGCAACATCTTCTCAATTGCCTTTAAATCCTATTCCAATAAGAAGACAAAAAACGCTAATAGAATATTCCCATGATTAAGAACAACGAGAATAAAACATGCTGCAAGTGATTTACATACACAGGTTAAAATGATCTCAATAAGTAAGGAAAGGAAAACTGTACCTACCTTGAAGTTTTCCAGATGCACCTTGTACTCTCTTCCAGCTTAAAACCAAGCCACATTTCTTAGAAAGGAAAAAAAATTTTGTCACTACTTAATGAAATAAACAATCTTATAATGCAAGTAAAAGCATAATTATATTCTCACTAGGGAAATAACTTAAAAAAGAAAAAAGACCATATTAGCAACTGTTTCTTAAAATTCAACTCCCACCAATCTATTACATGCAAGAAATACATATGGTATCAAAGCTGAATATGAATGAATTTTTCACATCTCCCTTCAGAGAAACAACTAAAATAAAAATCAAAGAATATAAAAGATACAAAACCTTAAGGTCTAATATAGCAGCAAACAGCAGCTAAATAGCTGAGGAAACAGCAGCAAAACTCAACAAAATTTTGAAAAACCAGAATGAATGGATAGTAACTCATTCAACAGAACGAAGAAACCTATAGATATATAGAGAGGGTAGCAGGAAAAGAAAGTAAAAGTATAAGGAAATGCTTGAACTCAGTCCTTTACCCAACACATAAAGGTGGACAATCATATATTCACTCACTGGGCATGAAACTGGAAGTTTTCTAGATAAACCCACCAGCCTTAAAGAAAAGACCTCCACAACCCTGGTCAGGTCCTTAGTTGTTTAGAGCATCGTCCCAATATGCCAAGGTTGCCAAGGCTCAATCCCCAGTCAGGGCACATACAAGAATCAACCAATGAATGCCCAAGTAAGTAGAACAACAAATCAATGTTTCTCTTGCTCTCTTGAATCAATAAATAAAATATATTTCAAAAAAAGAAAGAAAAAAGACATCCACACACCAATATTTAAAAGAATAGAGGGAGAAAAGAAGAGAAAAATTTAGAAATCCAAAAAAATAAAACACTAGGCTGTACATATAAATTAGGAACAGGTTTTTAAAAGGGATTTCTCAAACTGAAAAAAAATACATATATCCACAAAATACCTCTACACACATACACCATTATTCACAATCAAAAAGAAACAACCCAACTGTAAATCAACTGATGAATAAACAAAATGTGGTATAGTAGCTAAATGTAACATTATCAGACCCACAAGAGATTAAAATACAAATATGAACTCTAATACAGACAGATATACCTTGAAAACATTATGCTAACTGAAAGAAAAAAAAGGCCACATATTTATGATTCTGTTATATAAAATGCCCAGAATAGGCAAATCCATAGAGACAGAAAGTAGAATAGTGGTTTTAGGGACTGGGGTGAGGTGAGAATAGGAAATGACTATTAATGGTTACAGGGTTTCGACTTCGGATGATGAAAATGCTCTAGAGCCCTGGCTGGTCTGCTCAGAGGGACTCATCTGGTTTTGGAAAACCAAAAGGTCCAGGTCCCTCAGAGGGACTCATTTGGTTTTGGAAAACCAAAAGGTCCAGGTCCAATGCCCAGTGAGGACACACACCTGGGTTGTGAGTCAGGGCCCCAGTTTGGATGTGCATCCATGTTTGTCTCCCTCTCTTTTCTCCCTCCCTTCCCCTCTCTCTAAAAAGTAAAATCTTTCAAAAAAGAAAAAGTCCTGGCTGGTGTGGCTCAGTGGATTGAAAGCCAGCCTGAGAACCAAAGGGTAACTGGTTCAGTGCCTCCTGGGTCACATGTCTGGGCTGTGGGCCAGGTGCCAGTGTGCACATGGAAGGCAGCCACACACTGGTGTTTCTTTCCCCTATCTCCCTTCCCCTCTCTCTAAAAAGAAAAAAACAAAATCTTCTTTAAAAATGCTATTTAGTGGTGGTGGTGTTTATACCACTTTCTGAATATTCGAAAAACCACCGAATTATACATTATAAGGGTGAATTTTATGGTATATAAATTATATGTCAAAGAAGGTATTTTTTTTAATGTCTTCCCAATGTTCCTCTTTGGGAAAAACTGACATTATCTTGTAAAGCTGAAGAAGATAAGCATGCCCTACCTCAGAAACTCCACTTCCAAGAGGATATATAATAAAATATTTTTAGGTTCACCTATGAAGACCTAGTACCAGTAATAATATAGCAAAACATAAACAAAATGGAAACAATCTATGTAACCATGAACAAAAAACTGACAATTCATGGTATGTTTCTACAATGCAATACATAGTGAATAAAGCTACACGTTAGGTGAAAAAAGCAAACTGAAGAAATACTGAATTAAAACTTGTGAATTACAAATTTTAACCAATCTGTAAGTATGTAACTAAAGCAAAAATATACACAAAGATTACAAACTCTAAATTTAGGACACTGCGTTCTCTGGCAATTACCTTGTGAAAGAAAGAAATGGGAATTGGGGTTTTTGATTCTTCTAATGTTTTATTTGAAGGGGAAGTAGTATCACAATAGTGATAGTAGCATCACAAATCTGAAGCTAGTATAACAAAATATTGTGATCTGACAAAGCTCAGTTTTGTGGGTGTTTTATTTTCTAATCTTTGCACCCCTTAATGGGAACCTGGCCTGCAACCCAAGCATGCGCCCTGACTGGGAATCGAACCAACGACCCACTGTTTCACAGCTGTACTCAATCCCCTGAGCCACACTAGCCAGGGCTATTTTCTAATCATTTTTTGATGCAACAATCATACAATTTACAAAACAAATGGCAATCATGTACATTTTATAAGTATATAAAATAAAAAAAGGAAAGGGTTTAAAACTTCTCCAAGAAAAGGGGAGATTATTGAAGAAGTATGGACACTGTTTTCATTATAAAATCATTCAGCATTATTTTACTTAATGATGGGCATGTACCACCAGGACAAAAATTTTAAAACTAAGACAAAAAGAAAACCAATAATGACTTTGCCGAGTCAAAACAACTTTTTATGCTCAGAATAAAAACTTAAAAAAAAAGCAATCAGTCAATAAAGGTTGCTGAGAAAAAGAACTCAATCTTCAAATATAAACCCAGAGATCACTTATTAATGACAAAGTGAGAAGAGGTACCCTCCCAAAGCAGAGATCTGATCACCTTAACCAAGGAGTAACTAAGTATCACCAAAAATAATACCAAGAGACATTGTGTGCCTTTTGCTGTGTGGCAAAGAGAACAATATATTAGCCATGAAGTATTATTGCCAAGAGTACTTATTCTGAATATAACTATAAGCAATCATTCCAATTCAAACTGAGACAGATATGCTGTAAAAAAATGGACTGACTCGTCAAAAAACATCAGTGTCATAAAAGACAAAAAACAAATCAAGCAAACCAAAAAAAGGGGCAGGGAACTGTTCTTTATTAAACAAGCTGTCTAAAGAGGCGGGACAATCAAATGCAATGTGTAAGCCTTGACTGGATCACAGATCAAAACCAGAAATAGTCACTTTGGAAATTATTGATAAAATTCAATTTAAAAATTAAAAAAGAACCGTGTATAGTGGTTAACAATACTGTATCATCCTTAAATTTCCTACGTGTAATAATGATTTTGTGATCATTCATGTAGGAGAATGTCTTCAGTCTCAGGAGACACAAGTATTCAAAGGTGAAATGTCATGTCACTACTTACTCTCTGATTACTCAAAATGAGTATGCAGTGTATGTTTACAGAGTAAATGAGGCAAAATACGTTACAAGGGAGCTCAAGTTTTTTTGGTAGACTGAAAATTTGTAAAATAAAAAGGAGAAAACAATTATTCAGAGTACTCTTTCTACTTTTTCCCAAGTTTAAAATTAACAAAAATATTTTTAATGAAAAGTAAAACAGTTTAACTCACAGCAAGGAGCTGTCTTATGAGCATGTCTGAGGCTTTCTCAGAAATGTTGCCAACAAAAACTGTTGTAGTAGGACCACAATTTTCATCATTTTCTTTTGTCTTTAAGCCTGGATGATCCTTTCTGGCTCCCAAATGCTTTCCAACCATGGACACTGTGGGTACTAAGACCTAGAAGGAAGAAAGGCAATAAAATTTGATCTGGCAATTAAACTCCTATCACATTTAATGTAACACAAGGCAAAAAAAAAAAATCAATAAAAATTAATGAAAGCAGGGTAGGGCAAAAGCAGGTTCACAGTTGTTCATATGAACAATGATACTATAATTAATAAATAATAATACAAGAATAAACTGTTTCTCATACAATTGTAAATCTACTTTTCCTCCACCCTGTATACAGCACTATATTATTAAAAGGTCTACATACTTAATCTAAAGCTCCTAAAGCACACAGCACTTGTCATTAATGCAAACATTTATGACAAGTCCTACTGTTGGATTACTTTCTTTTAAAAACTTGGAAAAGCAAAAATAACTTCAACAGAAACTTTAAGAGAATTTTTTATTGTTTAAGACATCATAAATGATTTAAAATTATCAAATATATCCAGAAGTTTCTTCACAACTGTACTGTGTACTAGTACAACAACAAATTTCAATTATCCCTGCTCATCCTGTTGCAGAATATTCAAATACTCCCATAGCAGTCGCTCACACTTAAAATTTACCCTTTATAACTTTCAGCTTCCCAGAGAAAGGAATAGTCTTACTTATCATTGCATATGGAATTGAATTTAGCAAAACACCCACAACAGGCACTGAATAAATAGTGGTGAACTGGGGGAGCTGCTTCAAACCCCAAATGCTGTTTTCCTAGGAAGATATTCAAGAGACTAAGCGTACCTGGCATATGGAAGTTTTCCAAAAATTGAGTGTTCAATGCCAGAAAAGCTGGACTCCACCCCCTCCCCGCCCCCGCCTACAGAACCATTAACTTCTTAGTGGTCTGCCTCACAGCAGATTCTTGTCTACTTACTTCCCATCTTCCTTCTGATGTGAATGACACCATTCCCCTCCCTTTTCAAAAGCCACAGGTATAAAAACAGTTCAAGATAATGAGATTTACCCTCTCTCATAGAGGAATCCCAAATGAAGCCTAATATTCTACCAATGAACTAAAAGAAATACCTTGTTAAGTAACAGTTGAGAAGGTTATTTACTCATGTGTTATAGTATATTAACATTCTTAACTAAGATCCTTCAAGTGTACAGAAGCTACTTCCCCAAGAGAAAGGCTTCAATAAAACTATGACATCATGCTAAAGAGGAAAAAATAACTTGGGAAAGGCTAAAAATTAGGCAGGTGGGAGGAAAGAATAAAAATAGATTCAACAAAAATTTCATTTCCAAGTCTGTACTTCTGCTAGGATCATTCTTACTTTTTTTTTTAAATTAAAAAAGATCAGATATGTCTCATCATTCTCTTATCTCTCAATCAAGACAAAAGATGAGGAAATAATTAAAAAAGCCAATGTCCTAAATCTGAACTAGTAAATAAATGAATCTAAAAAATAAGAGCAAAACCATAAAACTATTTATTTAGAGAGTATATTTTAAAGACAACTGCATATATGCACAGCTGAGTGAAAATGGTACTTAATCAAGAGAATGATAGAAACAGATGCTCACACCCTTCCTAGTATCCTTTTAAACAAATTAAAAATAATTTAAGGTTATCAAGTTTTTTAGCTTTAAAAGTACTATCACCACTCTTATCTCCTAATTCCTCCTTAACATTAATACTTACAGTTGGAGCAGGAGCCATAATACTCATTGGTACAGGGATCATCGGGGTTCCTAAGGAAGGAGCATAATGAGTTGTATGTAAACACACACATTATCTATGGCTGTATTCTCTACCAACTGCATGCCATACGTACAAGTACTCTCGGTCATGGTTAATTGTAGGTGGAAAAATGTAGGACTAATGAGATACTGATGAATGCCTTCTTTTCCAAAGCAATGTGGCATCAGGTCAATCGATATAAACTTACACACACAAAAAAAACAATTCTAAAAGCAAAAAGGCTAACACAACATGCTTTTGCCTTAAGGAGGATAAAACTCTAGACATTGATCATGTTCACGGGGTTCAGTACATCCTCAAAATCAGCAACTCTCACAAACACAAATTTACTTATGGGTTAACAAATATTAATGAAAAATTCTTTGAAAGTTTCTTAACTATCAAGTGAGAAATTAATCTGAAAACCTAGGAAGAATGTTATTCCTGGTTCTTTAATAAAAACAGAAAACATGCAAAAGATAAAATCAGTAATCTCAGTCACCATCAAACAGAAAAATCTCGTAAGCCGCTGCTCTGAGGGTTTAAGAGCTGTCAATGGGCTATCTACTACTGACAACTGAATTTTTGTTTTCAACTGCATTGCTTATTCATCAATAGCCACTGCATTCAGAGTCCTTGTGCAGATAATAAAGAAATCTTACCTTTGAGAACCAAGAAAAAGGTTGCAATGAGGGCAGAATGTGTCTATTTTGCCAATGTAAGTTTTAAAATGCTTCTAAATATAGCACAAGAAGTTCTGAAATTGCTCCTCAGTTCAAATTTAGCATCAACTTAAGATAATTATCCACCTAAGACTGGTAACAAATTCTTAAACATCTAACATTACCCATTTATTTTCCAATATAACTTACTCAAAGAAACTTCAAGGTTTTCTAAAAGATAAAAATCAAGATTGTGCCCTTGCTGGTGTGGCTCACTGGACTGAGCGCCAGCCTGCAAAACCAAAGGTCATGCATTCAATTCCCAGTCATGGCACACGCCTGGGCTGCAGGCCAATGCATTATGAATTTTTTTTCCTCTTTCTCCCTCCCTTCCCCTCTCTCTAAAAATAAGTAAAATGTTTTTTAAAAATCAAGATAGCTATTAGACTACATAAGATTGCAAAAAAAAAAAAAAACAGGAAAAAAAACCCCCGTAAGCTTCAGAAATTAACAGGTACAATTCTTAGTTCTATCACTTTAGATATATAACCCTGGGCAAGGTCCTTAACCCTCAGCTTCAGATTCCTCAGTTCTAGTGAGGTAATTATTTCCTCAGAGTGTCTGAGAAATTATATGAGATCGTTTGTGGGGCACTTAAATACAGTAGATGCTCAAAATTACTATTAATCAATTCATATCTAAATTTTTCACTTTTTTAAATTTTTTAAGATTTTTATTTTTTATTTATCTTTAGAGGGGAAGGGAAGGAGAGAGGGAGAGAAACATCAATGTATGGTTGCCTTTTGTGCATCCCCTGCTGGGAACTGACCTGCAGGGAACCGGCCTGCAACCCAGGCATGTGCCCTGACTAGGGATTGAACTGCAATCGTGTGGTTCCCTGACTAGGGATTGAACTGCAATCGTGTGGTTCGCAGGCCCGCGCTCAATCCACTGAGCTACACCAGCCAGGGCTAAATTTTTCACTTTTAACTTTGAAAAACATCAAGCAAGTCCTGGCTAGTGTAGCTCAGTGGATTGTGCGTGAGCCTGCAAACCAAAGAATTGTGGTTAAATTCCCAGTCAGGGCACATGCCTGGGTTGCAGGCCAGTTCCCAGCAGGGGACACACAAGAGGCAACAATACACTGATATTTCTATCCCTCTCGTCTTCCCTTCCCCTCCCCTCTAAAGATAAATAAAATCTTAAAGAACAAAACAAAACACACCAGACACACCGTTGCTTACTACTGCAATCTATATGGCGCCCTTGACCATTCAGAAAAGACAAACTGAAAAAAATGTTTCCTTTTTCAAGTTATTAAAAGTTTAATTGTACATTTCTTACCTCAAGATACATTGTAGAAATTGCATTAAAAATTATACTGCTACCATTATAAAAATCTACACATGCTAGAGTGAAAAAAGGCAAAGTGCACAAAATGTGAACAGAGTAACACTAGTCCGGTGTCTAAAAAAAGAGAAATGGGATGGAGTAAATACACTGGGATATGCAGAGCATATCTCTAGAGAGCTACACTCTAGAAGTTCATAAGAAAGTCTATCTTTGGGGAAGGAAATTCAGGAACTGTGGGGGGAAACTTCCTTTCCTATACGCATACATTACTTTTTAAGAAAAAATTATGGTTGTTCTTCAACTTATTTTCTAACAATGTACGAAATCACCACATACATGATCTCACTTAAGAATTCAATTAATTGCACTTACAAGCAAAGTCAAGGAAATTATACATTGCATAGGTATTGTGGTCTCCAAATATTACACTAGTTTAGCATACATACCATTTCAGTTTTTTTTCATTTCATTTTTTTATCTTTTAAAATACTGACTCAGCACACAGAATGCAAGTAATGAATGAGCTGCAACTAAAATCTGATCCATCAACCAACTATGATTCCCTGGAAAGAAATACTGTACACTGTTGCAAACAGAATCAGAATTAACAGCATTACCACTCTACAAAGTAATGCCCACACTACTATGGCACTGACTAAACCAGGCCAAAACACTGAAAATCTGGTTTTGCAGTGCTGATTCATCTTAACAAATCAGGAAGTAGCCATAAGAATAGTGTCCCAATTATCTTATACTTCTGATTATATTTGATATAGTGTTTATTAGTAAATGTTGCACTTAGTATTTGTTCTCTAAAAGTTCAGCCCTGGTTGGTGTGGTTCAGTGCTTGAGTATTGGCCAATGAACCAAAGGGTTGCTGGTCTGATTCCCAGTCAGGGCACATGCCTGAGTTGCAGGCCAGGTTCCCTGTAGGGGGTGCGTGGGAGGCAACCACACGTTGATGTTTCTCTCCCTTCCTTTCTTTCTCCCTCCCTTCCCCTCTCCAAAAAGTAAATAAATCTTTAAAAATAAAAAAGTAATAGAAGTCCAAAGGAATTTAAAATATTGTCTATAAAACCATTCTACTAATAACAAAATTAAGGCACTGATGTTTCTGTCATCTTTCCAGATTCTGCACAAATGATTGAGCTTTGTTCCCAATCCCTTAATTTCTTCAGAAAGAAACAGGAAGTAAACTATTCTTCCCTCAACTCTGTAATGTAAGGGCTTTTTAAGAAATATCATGGTTACCATTAAGGTTTTTTTTAAAATAGATCTGCCCTGGCTGGTGTGGCTCTATAGGTTGAGCGACAGCCTGCAAGTTGAAAGGTCACTGGTTCAATCCCCAGTCAGGGCACACGGCTGGGTTGGGGGCCAGGTCGCCACTTGGGAGTGTCCGAGAGGCAAGGCAACATATCGAGAGGCAAGGCAACATATCGATGTTTCTCTTGCACATGGATTGAGAAACATCGACGTTTCTCCCTCCCTCCCTTGTTCTCTCTCTAAAAAAATGAATAAAATCTTTTTTAAAAAATGGATCTGCCCTGCCTGGTGTGGCTCAGTGGATTGAGCACCAGCCTGAGAACTGGAAGGTTGCCAGTTTGATTACCAGTCAGGGCATCTGGCCCCCGGGTGGGGACATTTAAGAAGGAACTGACAAATGTTTCTCTCACACACTGATGTTGCTCTCTCCCTCTCTTCCCATTTCTCTAAAAATAAATAAATACAATCTTTAAAAACAATGGATCTTGCCCTAGCCAGGTAACTCAGTTGTTTATTTTTGTCCCAACATACCAAGGTTTCGAGTTTGATCCCTGGTCAGGGCACTTACAAGAATCAAACAATAAATGCACAAGTGAAAAACAAATCAATGTTTCTCTCTCTCTAAAATTAGTAAATTTAAAAAATAATATTATATTGCCCTGGCTGCTGTAGCTCAGTGGATCGAGCACGGGCTGTGAACAAAAAGGTCACTGGTTCAATTCCCAGTCAGGGCACATGCCTGGCTTACAGGCCAGCTCCCCATTAGGGGGTGCACAAGAGGTGATCACACACTGGTATTTCTCTCCCTCTCTCCCTCCTTCCCCGTCTAAAAAACAAGTATCTTTAAAAAAAGAAAAAAATATTTCTGGACGATTTGTAAGACTGTTTGATGACTTCAGCCTGAGTTACAGATTCCATGTCAAAATATTTCTAATATTCAAATTAAGAATGTTCATTATCTTTCGAAAGAGAAACTAATTTTGTATGTTTTCAACCCCACTTAAATATGAAAAATTTTATACTTCAACAATAAACCAAAAGCAAAGTTTCTCTTAAGCCAAGAAATGTTAATTATGTACTTCAAGACAATGGTCTCGAATATGGTTTCTCTTTTTTTTTTTTAAAGGAGAAAGAGTGGGAGAGAAACATCAGTGTGTAGTTGCCTCTCATGTGTCCCCCACTGGGAACCTGGCCTGCAACCCAGGCATGTGCCCTGACTGGGAATCAAACCAGCGACCCTTTGCTTCACAGGCCTGTGCTCAATCCACTGAGCTACACCAGCCAGGGCTGGGTTCTCTTAAATGGATGCCTAGAATCACCTGTGAACTTGTTAAAAATAAAGATTCCGGGCCCCCAATTTCTGTGGATCTGCTTCAGTGGGTTGAGATGGTGCCTGAAAAACTGTTTTTATCCCATAGAACTTTGGAGACAGGAAACTTTTATATAGTAATTTGGAAAGGTCTTTATAAAATGGGGACCCTGGCTGGTGTGGCTCAGTGGATTAAGTGCTGGCCTGCAAAACAAAGGGTCGCCAGTTCAATTCCCACTCAGCACACATGCCTGAGTTGCAGGCCAGGTCCTCAGTTGGGGGTGTAACAAGAGGTAACCACACACTGATGTTTCTCTCCCTTCCCCTCCCTTCCCCTCTCTAAAAATAAGTAAATAAAATCTTTTTAAAAAGAAGGGGGCAGAACAGTTTATACAGGATACTACTATATATCTGTGTTGAAAGAAAAAAAAAAACCTAATAAATGAAAGAATGCATACTCGTTCTTGTAATATGCATTAGAAATTATGTGAGGCCCTGGCTGGCATAGCTCAGTGGATTGAGCGAGGGCCTGTGAACCAGAGGGTCGAGGTTCAATTCCCAGTTGGGGCACATGCCTGGGTTGCAGGCCAGTTCTCTCCCTCTCTCTTTCCCTTCCCCTCTAAAGATAAATAAAATCTTAAAAAAAAAAAAAAAATTATGTGGAAGGACAAGGAAGAAACTAAGAATCCTGCTTTGTTTCCCTCTTTCCATAAACAAATAGTAACAGTTAGTGATAAAAACTTTAACTGTACACCTTTTAATTTTTGAACCCCATGGCTCGATTACCTGTTTAAGTAAGCTTTTAAAAAATTTCCCAAATGAGTTTATACTCAACCAGATATAAAAACTAGCACCACAGTATCACATTTCCAAAATGATGTTACAGACATCTTTACTAACAGTTACACACACACCATCTTCCTAACATAAATAATGGGAACAAAAACTTCCTAACAAAAACAAAAGTATGGGTTAAAACAACAGTATTCACAAAATTACCTGGAGGTACAGGTGGAGGAAAGCCAGGAAACTGTGGGGGTGGGATCCCTGGTGGGAGTGCTGGGATTCCCATTGGAGGGCGATTCAAATGAGGGGGGAAAGACATTCTTACTGCAGCAGTCTAGAAAAAGAAATCATGACAAATCATTTTATGTGAAAACTCTACAATTCGATATGCCTGGTTTGTTGGCCTTCATGTTTAGAGTATCTGCAAAATTCTAAAGTTTTCTTACCCAAAGGAGTTGGCAAAGACCCTCTTTTCTCTGTCTGTCCATTGAGAATTTTTAAAACTTAGATCTTTTCTAAAATAAGTTCCCAAAATGTACACGATCTAAATTCAGGATAGACTCCTACAATCGTATGGGAATACATATAAAGGAAGAAAAAAATTTTGAGGTTCAGTTAATATCCAAAAATTAAATACCAAATATTAATGAATCTTTTCAAACCAAATTCAGATTCCAGGAAGATTTCTAAGTTACTTTTAAAAATTGTTCTGATGCATCCATTTTTTAAATACCTATTAGCACCTTTCTGAAAACTAATTTACAAAGTTACACAGTATGTATTGATTCAGTGTTGGCCAGTTCCTCAACTACAAACCTGGGCAACGAATGTGGAGATGGGGGAATCTCCTGCAATCAGGTCACAGAGTAACCAACCATTCAAATATAAAGAGAAAATAAAATTTATAACAATGAGAAAAAAAGTCATAGACTCCATGGGTAGCTCAGTCCGTTGGAGCATCCTCCCAATATGCCAAAGTTGTAGCTTCAATCCCAGGTCAGGGCACATACAAGAAGCAACCAATGAATGCATAATTAAGTAGAACAACAAATCGATCTTTTTCTCTCCTTCATTCCCCTCTCTAAAAGTCAGCATTTTAAATGGCATAATTTTTCTTTTTTCCCCCTGTTTTATAGGCAGGAGAGCAGGAGGTGGCATATGAGGACAGAGCCAGTGTCTGGCCCAGGCCAAGCACCTGCTCGAAGGTAGCCTGAGGTCCCCCTGGAAAGGGTGATACATAAGTCATTTTTTTCTTAAACATAAAAGCAACCCCCTTAGCCATTCTTGAATGAAATTTAATAAACAAGTAAATGAATGAATGAAATTCAAGAATCAGATGTTAGCATTTGATTTATCTTTTCTTTTTCATTTCGAAATGTAAAGCTCTTTTTAATTAGAGTTGACATACAGTAATCAGATGCTAGCATTTGATTTTTAAAAACACAACATAGCCCTGGCTGGTGTAGCTCAATGGAATGAGTGCCAGCCTGGTAACTGAAGAGTCGCCAGTTTGATTCTGGTCAGGGCACATGCCTGGATTGCAGGCCAGGTCCCCGGTCGGGGGCGTGTGAGAGGCAACTGATCCATGTATCTCTCACACCTTGAAGTTTCTCGCCCTCTCTTTCTCCCTCCGTTCTCCTCTCTATAAAAGTGAACAAATAAAATCTTAAAAGAAAGAAAAACACAAGAACACATTGAACTGTTTCATCTTGTTTGTGATATTACTATTCAATAATTTAGCAGGGGTGTCCAACCTTTTGGTGTCCCTGGGCCACACATTAAACATAGTGCTCACAAAATAATTTCATAATGTTTTACTTTACAATTTTTGTGTTGGGCCACATTCAGAGCCATTGTGGAGGGCATGTGACCTGCGGCTGGGGCGGGAGGGTGGTGCCATGGGTTAGACACCCCTGCTTAAAGAAACTTATTTTTTACTTTTAAAGGAATACTTAAATATCTAAGACTTTTCCTCCCCTCAAATTTTATGTTCTTCTCAACATATTCAACTATCCATATCTATCTGAAAAAGCAGAAAAATATTAGAATGTCCTAATTAGAATTAGGTGGATTCCATGCACCAATTTTAAAAAGCAACTAAAATAAGTGGGTTATTTATCATCAGTGACACCACTAAAGGCAGTGACCTGATCAACAGCATATATTCTGCTGGACACTAGGATAAATTCCCCACCTATGTGCTGTAATTGAAGGACTTTCAGAGTTGTTCGAAGCTTTTAAAATATGTTTGTCTCTATTATTTTCTTTTACTATACGTTGTTTTACTCACCCTTCAGAAGAGGGAAGATAAAAAGTGCATGTCTTCCACTTTCTCGCCCCTAATCCCAACAGTTTGGTATATATCGTTGTATTCTTCTAAGTATCTTTCTATACACAAACTAATATACAATCACTTGTGTTTTTCTGCAAACAATATAATCATACTACATTGTTATGTGCATTTCTCCCTCTTTATCATTAACATCTCTTTAGGTCAGTTCATAAAGTTCTAGTCCATTCTTTGTAAGGCAGTAAACTATTATAATACAGACATACAATAATTATTCAATCAACATTAATGGTTGGCTCCACATTTTACCTCTTACAAATAATGTTGAACATGACAAATTGGACATGTAACTATGTACCTGTGCAACTGCATAATACAGATTATTACCATATGCATCCACACATCATCTCCAACTCATCCTCCGGAACTAGACACAAATTTATACTCCCACCACTAGTACATGGGTATGCCCCTTCCTCGTTTCTTCACCAGTGCTAGAGTAAATCAGTGTTTAGATTATAACAACCTGATTGGTAAAAGAATACTCGTTTCAGTTTGTATTTCCCTTATCTTTTTACACTAATAGCTAGCGTATTTTACCATGTATAATGTGCTCCCGTGTATAATGCACACCTGCATTTTGTGGGCGTTATAAACAGGATTGTTACACCCACTGTGTGTAATCACTATACCCATGTGTAATGATCATCCTTCTTTCTCCCTCAAAAATTTGGGCCAAAAAAGTGTGCATTATACATGGCAAAATACAGTAGTTTTCCTCAGACTGTTCTTTTGATTTAATTAATTCAGTGTATAAAATATTCTATAAAACCTAAACTTCAATTTCAGCAAATACAATACACTTAAAATATCTGGAAGGTTTTACCAGTCAAATAAATTCCTACCATCATTTCATATACTTAGCTAATAAAATACTGGAAACACTTTAAAATAGTAAGTAGGTATCAGAATAAATTAAAAAGGGGAAATACAACTAATTTAAAACTATAAATGTGTTGTACTTCTACATAATCTATCTGTAATACTTCTGTCCAAAACGAAAACAAATATTCTTCAAGGCGAGAGTGTATCTCCTGTCCTACTTACAGAAGCTCCTGTATTATAATACTCTTATCTCAGCACTTTTCCTAGGATGGCAGTTGGTATTAATGCCTGTTGAATAAATGAATGAATCAGTAAACAAATGAACTCTGAGGACCTCATTAAACCAATTTATAAAGAAGTCCCCATGTGCCAGATATGATGCTAGCCTCACAACAGTTATAAAGATTCGGCCATGACCAGTGCCTAGCCTCACAACAATTATAAAGATTCGGCCATGAATTCATCTTTAGAATCCCTTTTCCCCAAATATTAGATATAAACAGTATTTTTCTTATAAAACCTCAATTCTTGGTATTTAAACACTATTTCACAGCTTTTAAATGTATAATTCATTTTGTAAAGAGTTAACCAGATTATGTTTAATTTTAGTTTATGCCAATATACCCATTCCATTCTGTTCTAATTTTTCTATAAAAAATTTCCCTTTTACCTCAAATTGTTCAAAACTTGCTTGCTCATAGGCTGAACTTCAAAGGTAGAGGTAATCCTAATAAGATAATGGCTTTTATAGAAATTCAAAAAACAAACATTTCTGGTGATCTCTGATATTATTCATTTTAAACATCCTAAAATGAGAGTCTCAACCACTTACCTCGACAGTTTTTTTTTTTTTTAAATCCTCACCAGGGGACATGTACATTGATTTCAGAGTAAGTGGGAAGGGAAGAAGGGCGTGAGAGAGGGAGAGAAACATCAACGTGAGACAGAAACATCTATCAACTATGTCTCCTATGCTCCCCAACCAGGGACCAAAGCCATGACTTTTCGTGGTTGTTTGTTTGTTTGTTTTTTAATATTTTACTTACTTATTTTCAGAAAAGGGAAGGGAAGGAGAAAGAGAGGGAGAAAAATACCACCATGTGGTTGCCTCTCGTGCACACCCTACTGGGGATGCAACCTGGCCCACAACCCAGGCATGTGCCCTGACTGGGAATCGAATCAGCGACCATTTGGTTTGCAGGCAGGCACTCAATCCACTGAGCCACACCAGCCAGGGCTGATCTTTTGTTTTAAGGGAAGATGCTCCAACCTAGCCACATCTCCGGGACTCAACATAAAGTTTCATATATTTTCACATATGTGAAAATGATTAAGAATAAGCTTTTCTAACCATAAACAAAGTTTATCAGGCTTTACCTACAGTTGATAATTGCAATACTCTAACTTGACTGTTACTTTCTAGAACAAAGTTGAGAAGAGAACTAGGAGTGCTTTACTTTAAATACAGTAGTCAGGCCTTTCCAAGGTGACATTTGAACAAAGACTTGAACAAGGATGAGGTAGGAAGCCCTCTTAAAATCTGGGAGCCATGGCTTTCCAAGCAAAGAGACAGCAAATACAAAGAGCCAGAGGTGGACAAGGAGGGTTCACAAAAGGAAAAGCAAGGCCAACAGCTGGGGCAGAGTATACAAGGGAAGTCAGAAATAAATGCTGAATATTACTAGGGGAGGGTATAGGGCTTTGTGGGCCACTGTGAAGATTTGGGAAAATATTAAAAGGTTTTTCTTTTTTTTTTTTTTTGTACTTGACTTATATTTTAAGTGTTTCTGGTCACTGTGCTAAGATAAAACTGGTGAACAAGGGTTAAAACAAAATACTACTCCAGCCCTGGCCGGATGGTTCTGTTGGTTGGAGCACAGTCCCACACACCAAAAGGTTGTGGGCTGGATTTCCAGTCAGGGCACATACCTTGGCTGCAGGTTCAATCCGCAGAAGAGGTATGAATTGGAGGCAAATGATCGATGTTTCTCTCTCACATCGATGTCTCTCTCTTCCTTGTTCTCTCTCTAAAATTATAAACATACCCTCAAGTGAGGATTAAAAAAGGAAAAACAGTACTGCAATAATCCAGATGAGAGAGGGTGGTCTGGAACAGGTGACATGGTGAAAGTGGTAACAAGTTGTTAGATTCTGGATATAATATGAAGGTAGCCAACTGCTAAGCAAATGTGTGTGGGATTTAAGAAAAAGAGATGGAGAGGTTATTTTTATTAGACTGAAAAGATTTAAATAGCATTTTAAAATTACTTGAATAGTTGTGCTTCACTTTCAGAAAGTTCAAAGCATTTTTACCTAGTAAGTATTAAAAACAAAAAACAAGAACCTATGATGGACATGTTCTGTATTTCTAGAGTGGCAATGGTCATACAGGTTTATGCATTTATCAAAATTCACTGAAATTAGAATGGGTGCACTTTACTCTACATAAATTGTATCTCAACAAATTTGGTCTCTCCTCTGCAAAAAAAACCCCAACACATTTCTAGGTAATTATCTCTACCACTCAACATATGCATGTATTCTGCTTCTTTTTCACTATCCTCTTTTAAACTGTTTTTTCCCTGCACTCCTAAGAATACCATTAATGCTTATATGCATTCCTCTCCCTGCAGATTTATCCTGATAAAAACAAAATATTTTCACCAGAAACAGATTTATAGCCTAGCCCCATCAGGATACCCTGTACTAAATTTTTGACATGGTAAAAAGCAAATGAACCAATAGACTCTCCTTAGCAAATACTCCTATGCAACTTTCTCATTCACTCAATAAATATACAGCTCCAATTATGTGGCAGGTTCTTTTCTAAGTATTACTTTACTAGTTCTGAAAGAGCAAATTTTAAGTTACATACTTATCTAGCCAGTCTGATGGTCCCACAATGCATGTAAAGAATTAGTGCAGTACGCACCATTTCCTGGCCTGCTTTATAACCAGTTGAGATACAGTGGACTGACAGAACCGCCCCAGCCTAAGCAGAGCAAGCCCCTCAAAACATCATTTCTCACACTGAATTTCCAGACCTGGAGTCTTCAGAAACTATTCCTAGGAAAAAGTGTTCTATGCCCAAAGAAGAATGGGAAATGCTTAACCAACATTTTCTTTCATAGGAAAGCTTTTCATATATGAAAATGTTTTGAGCCTCCCAAACATTTGCTGAGCTGATCATTTGCTGAGATTTCCACTCTGCTGTTTGTAAATAGGAAAGAGGGATCCTTTGGGGGCAATGGTTGCACAACTCTGCTTATTTACTAAAAATCATTTCACTGTAAGTTTACAATGACTGAATTTTATGTTGATTACACTTTAATAAAGCTGCTATTAAAAAAGCAATACCAATTCAGGATATTTCAGGCAAAACAGGATCTACAGATTCGATAACACTGTATCAATATTAATTTCCTGATTCTGATTATTGTACTATTGTTAAATAAAACAATGTCCTTGTTTTTAGGAAATACCTGTTTAGGGGTTAAGGAACACCACATATACAACTTAGTAGCAAAATATTTAAGAAGAAAAATATAGAGAAAAAGGGGATAGGATAAAGCAAATGGCTGAAATGTTAACACTTGTGTAATGTGGGTGAAAGATATTTGAGAATTCTTAGTATGACTCTTGTAATCTTTTTTGAAGTTTGAAATTATGTCAAAATAAAGTTTAAAAAAGCAGTTTCATTAATCCTGGTGAGTGGAAATGGTTTTTATTTTCAAATTTAAAAAAACTACTCAAAATCTTTGAGCAATCACAACCATGGTGACCGACAGTGGTGGCGTCAAAGACTATCGAGAGATTTAAAAAGTACACAGAATGTTCTTGTAAGACCGTAGAAGACTCAATGACTACTTCTGCTTCCAAAGTTTCAATACGGTTAATAAATTTCACCCCTAAATCATGTATAATCAAGAAAAATATATAGGTAGTTTGTCTACGGACAAGAAAGTATTTGAAAATCCCAAACTTATATTAGATCTTAAGTAGTTACCCAAAGTTAAATGAACTTATTCTTTAAATATATTAAAAGCCTTAACACAAAGAAATAAAAAGATAGTACACCACAAAGTAAACTTAGTCAAACTACCATTAATACATGGTGCCTATATGCAATACCAGGACAATAATTTTCTTCCTAACAGTGTTTTAATTCTCTGCCTAAAAATGAAAAGACAAGAAAGAAATCCACTCTGGTGACCAAAAAAAGGAAATTAGTGACCCTAAGAAGATGAATTATTTAATAAAAATAGCAACTACCATTTTCATTTACAAAAGCCTTCAACATATATTATTTTTAATCTCCCAGATTACCTTGTGCAGATATACTTATGCTCCTTTCACAGATGGAAAAGCTAACTTGTCCAAGGGAACACAACGAGTAGCTGGGGACCCCAAGGTCCCCGCAACCCTCAAATTACTAATCTAAGGGCTGTTTTCACTGTGTCACAGTGCCTTTTTCTGGTAATAACATACCAACGAGAAATTTCATGTTAAGAATTAACTTTGACTTTAAAAGTTTAAGTTTTAGTCTACTCACTGTCTATTCATAGTACACTGAAAGAATGTTAGAATCAGAGTTAGGCTCTTGTATATCACTGAAAAGTGTTAAATAACGCCACCAGTTAATATGGACTAACACTATGCTATTTGGGTAATGCACTAAGAATTTTACATATATTTTTCTCACGTAATTCCAATCCCAATAACCTAAAAGGTGAATACTGTTACAATCCTTACTCTACAGATGTAAGGATTCAAGAAAAGTTAAAATGAAAATAGTACAGTATCTACTCGAATCATGTTTAATTGATGACCAACCGAATGCCTCTCTAGGCTGCTGAATATTTTTGGAAACAATCTTTTAAAAGTTAAATCTCCCAAGACAATATAAAAGCTGTTTATATACTACTGCTAACTAAGTAATTCACAGTACTTCACACTATAGTGGGCCGGTGCACAA